TCTTTCTGCGCCACCGTCAGAGCTCATGTCCAAGGCGCTCGAACTGCTCTACTCGCTCGGCGCCTTGGACGAATACGCAAAACTGACACACCCGCTCGGATCTCGCATGGCAGAACTCGCCGTCGAGCCAATGATGGCGAAAACCCTGCTCTCGGCGCCGCAGTTCAACTGCCTGAGCGAGATGCTCACCATTGCCGCCATGACGAGCCTCGGCGGGAACGTGTGGTTCTATCACGACGGTGAGCAGAAAAGGATGGAGTCTTCCAGGCGCAAGTTTGCCGCAGAGGAGGGAGACCATCTGACGCTGCTCAACGTCTACCAGACATTCATCACAAAGGGCAGGAAGGAGGCGAGGTTTTGCCATGAGCACCATCTGAATTACAAGTCCATGACGCGGGCGATGAGCATCCGAGCTCAGCTCAAGCGCTACCTTGAGCGCTTCAACATCAGGGTCGACGAGACGCTCTCCTCATCTAACCAACCTTCTTCTTCATCGGCAATCGACAATAGCAAGAAAGCAGAGAACATCAGACGCTGCCTCACGTCTGGCTATTTCGCCCACGCAGCACGCATGCAGCCGGACGGGACATATCGCAACGTCGAAGGCGGCACGGTTTTGCATGCGCATCCCAATTCGCTCCTGTTCAACCGCAAGGCCGACTGGGTCATCTTCCATGAGGTCATGGAGACGGGCGAGAAGACGTATATCCGCGACATTACCAAGATTGAGAAGAACTGGCTGGTTGAATATGCGCCCGAGTTTTATAAACTCTCCAACGCAACTGCTCGACCTTGACACGGCCAAGATAGTTCGTGGTTAGCATAATGGGGGGATGTTGTGCTCCCCTTCAGAAGCCGAAGCACAGCGAGACTTGTGTATTCAATGGACGCGCACTTCATGCATCTGGCATCATCGGCAGTCGGTAGTACCAAGTTCCTTTGTCCATTGCATGGTCATCGGCCAGGACACAGACTGAATGTCCCTTGGTACCGTACGAGCCTGGTTCTTCTATCTTTAGATGGCTCCATGGATTGTTCTGGAATGCCCCCTTTTGCATCTACTACCGCCAAGTCGCAGAACGATAGCTATTACTATCATTACTGCGAGATACCAGTAGTATGACCCTTCGCTGTTAGCTCTTATATATCAAGATTAGGATAAATAGCCGAAAGTGAATAGAATCTCAAGGCTCCACGCTGCAGGCCAGTGCCGAGGGTATTCGATTTCCACGTCTTCTTGGCCGTAGGTAGTGTCCACAAAGCAGGTGATCGGTGGGAATCCGTTGCTGATGTTCAGCCGGGATGCCCACGCCTGCCACGATCGACTGAGTTGCTGCCGTGCGTTGCCTAGGTAGCTAATCTTACGAGAGGCCTTGCTGTTCTCCCTGGTCTGGGCTGGAGAGACTGTGAGCTGGAACACCAGGTCGCACGAGATATTTCTGCTTCTTCAATGGAGAGTAAGGCAGCGAGTGTTGGTCGGATGGCCATGTTTCAGCGCGCAAACACCGATGTAAAGGGTTGGCGAAACGTGACCTGCAGGCAGGTTGCCATAGGAAACAGCATAGATAGTGCGCAGGAGATACCGAGGTGGAAGGTCTCTGCCAAAGACAGTTGTCTCAAGATCAGCTCAAGGCCTGTCTCGTTCGGCGCAAAAAGGATGCGGAGACTGAGACTCTTCAGCCCTCGACAAGACCCCATGCATGTCTCGCCAGGGCAGAAACAGCTCGAGCTTTTTTTTCCTTTCCCTTCCTTCGACGGGACGCACGAAGAAGTGGTACCTCCTCCTATGCATGCAAGACCCGTTTCTCCTGTTTCGTCTGAATTATCTTTGGCCGCTCACCGACTGTAGGCATCATGCAAGCAAGGGGAACATGGAACATAACAAAAGCTTGTGATGGGGTCGACATGGGGGTCTTGTAATTTTGTCCCAGCAGCCGGCTTCGCATCCGAGCGTGATGCCTGGCGCTCTGTAATATTACGACAACCTGGTAACGGTCGCGGCCGTCACGGAGCACTTTGGTGCGTGCTGCCGACTCGGAGCTTTTCTGCAGAGAGGATTTCGTAGCCAGACTCCGTACTCCGCAATTCCGTGGCATTGCTGCACGTAGTAATACCTGCTTTGCTTCTCATGTTGAGTTTGAGGAGTGGTGATGTCGAACTCGGCTCCGCATGCCAATGCCGCCTCAACGGCCAGCCAGGGGCCAAATCTCATATCGGAACAGCGGCAGCCAGTCTTCCACGAGCCGGACCAGCGGCCCGGATCTCCATGTAACGCAACAAGCGGGAGTTCTAATGGTATTGATGGCATCTATAAAAAGACGAGAGACGGGCATTTTCGCAGAAGGCTAAGATTGCGCCTACCTAGCCATAGGGGGTGGTGATTTGGCGTGAAATAGAGGCTCCCGGCGGAGGCGTCGAGGTGAAGATGAAGGAGAAGACAAGGAGGAGGAGAAGCGGCATTGGCAGAGAGTCATGATGGTGCAGGTACCTTGACATTGCGTGCATTGGGGTGGATATGCCTTTAATGAGGTTGATTGGCAACTGCTCCTATTGGATAGGGCGGTTTCCCAGGCACAGGCGCGGTCGGAGTTGGTGCAGGTACAGGTACAGGTACAGGTACCTTAGTAAGGTACAAGAACAGCACAGGACTTCCTTCAATTGCTGCCCCCCCCGGCTGCGAGATAGGATGAGGACGAACTCGCTTCTCGAATGCGCCATTTCCTTCGAGATTCACCAATTTCTGGCCTTTCTTTTTTCTTGTTCTCAGACGTTTTCCTGCCGTGGTACCAACAATCCTTTCAAATGCAAGTTGGCAGACGTGAAAGGCAGGCTTTGGTGTCCTGTCCAGCACCAACAGTCACAACAAGCACAGTCCGCCAGGGAAACATTGCTCGAAGTGCGCAATTTTCTCGCGACAACCCAGAGCGTCGCATCGGGATGCCTACGGCGATAAGCTACAAGTGCTACCTAGCATGATTACTAGGTACATAGCTTAGGTATCAAACTACCTTATCGAAGTTGCTTGGCAGCCCTGATGATGGAGGAATTGGAGGGTGAATACTCGAACGCTCCCAGCTGCCTGGCGTTAGTGCTGGCGCTATTGGGCGAGTGCCTGTCGCTAACACGCCCATGCGGCGACATTGGCCGTGGCTCTATTTGACACGCCGGTGCGGCCGTCTCTCGCCATTCCTTTCGCACCCTATCCGAGTCTGGACTGCGCCGTGCTCCGTCAGGCTGGTGTGGTGATGGTGCCATTCGCGGAGCTTGCGAAAGAAAGAGGAGCTTGTTGTTGTTGAGACTCCGTACAACCAAGGAGCTGCGGCTCTCTTTAGGTACTGGGTAGGTACCTTAGGTATTTGATAACCAACCAAGAGGTGCGTGTCGGAATAATACGAATCGGTACATGTAATGCATCTCAGACGTAATTGACTGTCCTCATGTCCAGTGTTGAGTCTTGAGGATTTCGAAGTCTAGTGCTATCGAAACTGTAGATGCCTCCGCTTACAAGCCCTTGAAAACGCCTGCAAGGTCAGGTATTACAAGCGGGTACTTTTGCATTGATCTGGATGGCAACTTGAAGCTCAAGGCAATTTCAATGGCGAGCTCTGCTCTGCCCAGGGACTCGCCGGTACGCGCGCTGGCGGGACGGCTAGGGCTCTCTTGGGCTAGCGTCAGGGGCTGGAGAGAGCAAAACACAGTGGCAACTGAGAGGGTCGTCTGCAGCGAAACCGCGGAGGCGACAGTATCCAGAACTGTGCGGGCCGCCCTGATTGGAGCTCGCCTGCGGTACCTGCGTCAGACCCCTGCTAGACGCAGCTCGCCCGACGTTTGTTTTCCTCTTTCGACCAACTGGGCTGCTCGACTGGCAAAGGGCCGCCCGACGCTGCCAGTGGGCTGGCCATTGACGCTTGAGAGCAGCGAAGCAGCTTGTACGGGTACCTGTGCAACCACAACATGCATCGGGGATGGCGATGCAATACAGCTGTGCGACGAGGTACCGGATACGTACCTCCCACGCCTGCGATCCCTGGGAGCATCTTGCGCGGCGGCCCGGCGCTAGCACTGCTCAAATTAAACTGCTCCCTATTGCTGCGACCCTGGCGGCTCCTCATGGATGGACGAACAGGACGAGCACCGGCACCAGCACCAGCATCTGGTACCTGCGACCTGGCCTGACCCCTGCCGGTACGCCCAAGGCCCCTGCCCTGCGCTGTCTCATTCGCTACAGCAAGGGGGAGGGGAGTTTTGGCCGCCGGAGACCTGCTGGGCTTCCCTGCCATGGATCGCTTGGGCTGCTTTGCTGGGGACGACGAGCCATGACAACCTGACCTGACCTGAAGCCGCTCCCGACTGCTGCGGTACCTGCGCTGCACCAGCACCTGCAGTCGACCCTGCGTCTGCATCTGTAGGTCAGGTACCTGTCCCTGTACCTGTACATTGGATCAGAGCTGTCCCGCCGAGGCGACCAGGGCCTGGCCGTGCTAACCCGCTTGGTGCACTCGCTCACTCGCTCCTCCATCGTCTCCTTTGCCCAGTGCGTCGCTCGACTCTTCCTCTTCTTTTCTCCTCTCCCCCATCGCCAGTTTCCTGCTTCTGTCGACCATTTGCGATTCCCATCGTGACAAACCGCCTGCCAGCGGGCCTTTCACTCATTTCGTGCTTTGCTTGTCAAGCTCTCAGTCATTCCTTTTTTGCGTGCTGCTTCTGCGAATCAGCAGCAACAGTCGTTCCTTGTCTCTCTGCCTCGCCCGCCTGGCACTGCATTCTTACCCGCTTTTCTGCTGCTTTCCTGCGTCTTCAGCTTCCTGTCCCGAACGTCGATCGACAAACGCCTCTGGCCAGCCTCTCGTTTGCGGGTGATTGTTCAGTGGTTGAACAAGAGCAAGCAGGACAAACCGCATATTCATGGCGATCAGTACATCACTTCGACTTTGATTCGCACCAGTCATTCGTAATACTCGTTCCTTTCTCTCCCGCCGTCGTTATCAACCAGTCTTTTCTTTGAATAGGAGGAACTCGACAAGATGAGCATAATACGAGCTCGCGGGGTCAACCTCGCCGCCGCCGGGGCGAATACGCGCGATGGAGATGTGTACAAGATGGGATCGCGGATCAATCTTCGCCGCAGCTTGGAGTCTATTGGATCTTTGCTGCGCAGGAGTGATTGTGTTGCTACCGATGAATCCAACACCTGCGAGAAGCCCGTTGGGCCTTCGGATTCGACGCTCGCCATTGTGCTGGGAATTATGTGAGTCATCTCATTATGTTGCAAATGGAAAAGGGGGCCGGAGGGAAGATGGGGAGAGGAAAGGGGGGGAGAGAAAGAAAAGGAAGCAGGCTGTTGCTGGCCCGGATGGTTATGCTAATGGAAGCAGAATTCCCGTCATTGTGGCCATCGTGGTTCTCTACTTCCTGCATCGCCGGAACATGCGCCGCGACAAGCTGGAGGAGCTCAATGACCCGACCAAGGACTTGGATTTCGGCATGGGAGATGCCCCCGCCAAGACGCGAAAGAGCCTGCTGGGATTAGGGGGAGAGAAGCCGATGCACAAGGGCGGACTCTCCATGGACATGAACCTCTCGTCGCCGTACCTGCTTCCGCCGGGCAACCAAGGGTCTCGCGAATCCATTCACTCGTATGCTCGAACCCTCCAAACCGAAGATGACCCCTATAGAACCGTCAACCAATATGCAGCTAGTGATGTTGGTTCGATTCGATCCTTCAACCCGAACGACAACTCTGGTGCACGCCCTCCCAAGTCCAGCGCTCTCTCCAAGCCTCCTATGCAGCCAAACGCAAACCCGTCGACCCCGCGATCCCCGTCTCCGGATGAGAAGGGTGACCCCTTTGCTACACCCACCGCTCCCAAGCCCACGCATCAGCCTTCGTCCAACGCCGCCGAGGTTCATGATGTCAGGCTTCCTGTCCAGCCAATTGTTCCGGAAATCGAAACGGTCCCTGCCGTCGACGTCTTCAACGCCGACGAATTCGAGATGCCCGACATCCCGGCTCCTGCTCCCGCTGCTCTGAAGCTCCGCCAACAAGACGGCTCCCGAAGCCCTGCCCCCTACGAGCAGCCCAACTCGGCGCGTTCCTCTGCTTACACTGATAATGGCCGCGCCTCCTCGGCCAACCCTGCTGATGGAAACGTGCCCCAGATTAACTCTCCCGGACAACCTCCTCATGAAGATGCCTCTCAGGAAGAACCCCGTGGCCGACCTCTCTCAAGGCCTCCTGCTCCTGGCGGTCTCGGCGTTCCGCAAGCCGGCAACAACAAGCGACTCTCTGTTGGTTTCCGACCGCTGCCTCCTAATGAAGTGATGGAGTCTGATGATCCCGAAATCCGTGCCAACCGCATCCGCTCCTTCTACAAGGAGTACTTTGATGATTCTAACGAAGCACCTCCTCCCATGCCCACTCAGCCTCTCCAGCAGTACCAGCAGCAACAGCAGCAGCAGCAGCAGCAGCCCCAGCAACAGCCTCAGCACCAGGCGCACGGCGGACCTGACTACTATGAAGACTACGACCAGGGCTACCTGGAGGCCGCTGCTTACTACGATGCCGACTCCAACGCCTTTGTGATGCCGTACGCCCAGCCTGTCACCCGTCGTGCCATGACACCGCCTCCCAGCGGACGCCAGGGCGGACCAATGGGCGGCCCGCGTGGTCCCGGCCCTCGTGGCCCAGGCTTCCGCGGACCCAATGGCAACGGCGGTACCTTCTCTCCCGGCCCCGGACACGGACGACCTCGTGCCGGCTCGGCATTTGGACCTCGCCCTGACTCCTCTGCCTCTGGTGCGTGGGCGCGCCAGCAGCAGCCCAAGAAGAACTTGCCCCCTCCTGCGCCCCTGAACACGCTCCCGACGCCCTCCAAGCTGGGCGATGATTCATTCGCCATCTTCAACGCGGCCGACTTTGCCCCTCCGACCAGCATCAGGGACAATGTCGCAGGCCGAAGCCAAAGCCCCTTTGGTGAGAGGAAAGCTTTCTTGCAGCCACCGACTGCCGGCTCACAGCTGGCCGGTGCGTTTGAAGACCTAGCACCTCTACCAAGCCCGTAAGTACCATTGCCCGCGTGCGAGCGTAATCGACAATGATTGGCTAACTCGTGTGCAATCTAGACACTTGCTCCGAAAGTCCGGAACCTTCACAGGGCTGGACTTTGCCCCTCCCAAGAAGTTCAGAGACCCCGAGGTTGCCAGCGACGCAGGCAGCATCAGGAGTAACAAGAGTGGCATGTCTCAAGCGCAGCTTCAGGCCATCCGAAGCGGCGCCGGCCGTGTGAGCCGCCTCCCGGGCGACACGGTGTTCACGACCGCCGCCATGGACGACCAACTGAAGCCTTCATGGACTCTGCGACCTTAGACGGGAGCAGAGTGGGCGAGCTGCCTCGGATGACATTATTTTAGTACCAGCGTCGTCATTTCTTGCTTACGGCATTTTGCATGATCTTGCCAACAGATAGCGGCATCGAAGCGCTCTCTCCGACGTGGGGGGGTTTTGTTTATTTTGTTCACTTCCACAGGAGTAATTAGGGATTACGACGGACTTTTTTCTTCGAATTTTTCTTGGGCTTTGCGATGTTTGCATATAGATGGACTTGGAACCTAACCACACACATGAAGAACATCTCAGGTGACGACTTCGGGCCTCCTTGGGGGCATCTGAAGGGATACTGTACATAGGCAATATAGGTCAATCAGATGCACTCACCCGTTAATATTCTACATGTTGTTCTGTCTATGTCTTTTTCATATTGTGTGGTGCTTGCTGTCTTGATATCAGATTGTGTTCTGTTTGTAATTAATGTCAGAATGGTGTCTCTTCGAAAGGATGGCTGATATGCAATTCCACTCTCACTTGATCATTCAAGGCAGTATTTGCCTGTCACGGCCACCATAATGACATCCAACGATCAACAATCAACTTTGGACACTTCATTCAACCAGGGTACTTCATTCTACGTCTCACATTGTTGAAGTCGTCCAACTTGATATATAACATGGTCCATCAGGAGCAGCTCCGTCGGATGAAGTCAGCATCACGTGCCCCTTCCAAGGTCACTCACTACCTTACGGGTAGACAGAACTAAAAAGCAGCTGGTATTAATAGATAGTACCTTAATTGATCTTCAGATGAAGATCAACGGGCTGGGCTTTTGTTCTCTCTGGAGATGGGATGAGATCGAGCTTTCTTCATTGGCGGTTTTGGAGCTGTTTAATTTCGGGATCTTGGGGATATTGACGCCTTTTTTTTCCCGACTTCAATCCTTCTCATAAGGTACTTGAACAAGGTGAACCTGATAGAAACGGTCGATGAATCAGGGGAATAAAGGACAGGGGCAAAAGGGCTGTTTATTATATGGGGAGGTTTTTGGTTAGTAATTCGGCTTTTTATAGTAAGCCCGTTCAAACTCGTTCACGGACCAACAAACTGGGTCTTTTATGTGTGTTTTTGTGGCAGTGATATGGGCTACGTACTAGGTAGTGAGATGGGCAGTGCAAATTTCAGGGTTCCCTTTCTGTTGTTGTTGTTGTTGTTGTTGTTGTTGTTGCCTACTAATCATTTTTTTGTAGCCCCCTTCGGTCACGATTCTATTCTTGTTCCTACTTTTTTTTCTAACGGCCCTGTTGCTTTTCTGCTTGATTCTTTTGTTCGTGTGAAGGAATTTTGTCATTGATGCGATTTGGACGGATGGACGACCGGCCTTGTATGCATAGTCGTTCTCGTTGAGGTGATGTAGACCTGGGGAGAGAGATGAACAGTAGCTGTAGCTTCAAAGGCCCATCCTGCGCAGAGCAATTCCGGCCTTTTGTTGGAATTTTTATGTTAAGGACAGCCCATGCACCTTTTGATTCGCGGCATGCAACTCCGTACTCGGTATGTTTGAACGTGCGCAGCCTCCGTGGTCATTGCCTCCCGTAAGACGAACGGGGTCCGCGATGGCCCCAATTGGCACCAGGGGGGTCGTTGTCTTCCGGCGTACAAAAGTACATACGAAGGTAGTCTACAAGATCAAGTAACACACACCATGATCAGCGGTCACTTGCGGCAGGAAAATAAGGTAGACAAGGCAGGTAACAACTCCGGTTCTCAACCAAGAGACAAAAAGACATCTCTCCTTGTCCCGTTTGTGTGTGTCTTTTGGTGCTAAGTGCCGGGTGAGACAGGGCAATGGAGATGGCGGATAACAAAGCGTTAGAACGTCAGAACCACAAAACCCGAGACGGCGGCCTCCTTTCGCCTCACAGTACTACGTACTAGTAGTAGCAATAATTACTACTACTAGATAGAGCTGAACAGCTCTGGAATGGGCCGCCCTTGTTTGTTTGCGCGTGGCTGGCCGGTGGAAGTTGAGCCCCAAGCCCAAGCCGCGTCTTCTCTCCGCCCCCCAATTGATCCCAGCTGTTAGGCGAAATTAGTTTGCTGGTCACCCAACCGCTAGGACAGAGACACAACCCGTTTTGGGGGGGTCAGCGTCAGCGGCGAAGCGCCCTTTTCGACTCGTGAGTACTTGTAGCTTGTCGTTGCTAGTAGTAGTAGCTACTAGCTGAGAGGAGACCTGGAGGTCAGTGTTCCCGTTTGCGCCCCCTAACCTTGGGCGGGAGATGGTAAAAAGGAGCACATCGTCAGTGTGTCCGTTTTGACATGCCCATGATGAGGTACCCTTCTAGGAGGTTTTTTCGCTGGGGGGGACGCCAGGAAAACACAAGCTGTTTGGGGAGGGAAGCAACGGTTTCAGCCAGACCGAGTATGAATGATCCGGCAAAAAGAAATGAAAAGTGCCTCGGAGAGGTGTCTCAGTACTTTTGTACTTCAGAAGAGGAGGAGGAGGAGGAGGGACGAAGAGAGAGAAAAAAAAGGTCGTGGATAGCAGGAACGGGCACAGTCGCACAGTCCGGATGACTCGATTACCGCACATGCAGGCCCCATACGCAGGCCATGATCAAATACGGTGCCCGTCACAGTGCGCGTGGCAGCGTCCGGCGTAGCTGCTTGTGGTCATTGTGGTCTCCTCGGGCGCGGGTGCGTCAGAACTTTACGACTCTTCTCGGCCTTTTCTTCGTATTGAGGTACTACGAGTACTATCATCTCGTCTTTGCCCCTAACGGCGCATTTTGCCTTTGCCGTGCCTTTTCTGCTGCCCTGTTGCCTCTCTTTTCCCCTCTTCCCTGCCGCTCGTCCACAAGTCGAGGTTGGTTCCCTTTGCAGCGTCTCTTGTGCGCCTCCAGCGAGCCATTGCGCGACGGATTTGTTTCCTTCCATTGGATGCCCCGTCTTCCGTCTCTCTCTCGCTGTTAACAATACGACTCCACCCCTGGCGCGGCCTCTCTGTCCCCGTTCCCTGCCATTGCTAGGTAGTAATAAGCGCCTCACTGACCTGTTCCCTGGCCTGGCTGTGCTGCTGCTCATCCCGAGCAGAGACAGGAAACCTCGTAACACGCCCCACGGCCCACTCTCTCGTGCAGCTGCTTCCGTCCATTCGCTGCGTCTTTTCTTTTTCTGTCTGGTGTGCGAAGCCGGTCAGGCTAAGTCGAGGCCAAGGCTAAGCTGCCGTCAGAACTTCGTGGGCCTCGTTCGCCGGGGATCCAGCGCTGCGACAGGGACTTTGCTTCTGTTTCTGTTTCTCATTTTTTCTTCCCTTCTTCCCTTTTACCCTCTCCTTCTTCTACGATACCAAAAAAAAAAGAAGAGAAACAGGAGATCGCAGCGGCGTCAGCTCTGTGACTGGCGCTCGCTCAGTGTATACTCGGGCCTTGAGTCTCGCTCCCTCCCTCGAATTGACCGATTCCTCTGGCGCGCACGTTTTCTTCCGGATTGTCTCTGGAACGTTGGACTGATACAGGTACGTTTGCGGCTCTCCGTATTGTCTTGCCCTCTGGTCTCCCTTCCCGACCCGATTGATCTTGTGCCTCTGCCCGCTGCGGCATGCCTATGTATCTATCGATCGCCTTCAAGGACCGGATATCGTGACAGGACTTTTCTGGCTTGGTGTGCGCTGCGCCTGCGTTCGGCCTTGTGCCATTGCGCGACTCGTTCTCGGGCGCCTTCTCCGCCTTATCTGCGCAAGTCCTGGCCAGCGGCTGCAGCTGATTAAGATCATGGTCATCGTTTACTGCATCTGATCTGCATTGCTTGACGTCGGTCGTCCAAGCGACGTCAACCTCGTTCTGACACGCCATCTCAACACAGTCAATATCAGTCCTCATCAACGCCATCACCATGTCCAGCGGCACAACCGCCGCGCCGCCGCCAGCCTCGTCGGCCGCGCCGTCCAACGACGCAGGGCCTTCAGAGACTCCCACCACTCCTCCGGCACCACCCGCCTCATCAACTCCGCCGCCGTCCCAAACGACTCCTCCAGCACCGCCTCCTGATACCACGTCTTCGTCACAAGACCCTCCGGAGAACACGTCCACCACGTCGACACCCGATCCTCCGCCATCGACGACATCCACTCCGCCGCCGCCTCCTGACACCACAACACAAGCGCCTCCGCCTACTACGGAATCAACGCCCCCAAGTACGACGACACCACCACCCACAACTTCGTCGTCCTCACAGTCTTCCTCTTCCTCGACGACCCCGGAGCAGACCACCAGCACCCCGGATTCCACAACGCCGCCGCCGTCAACCACCACACCCCCTCCGTCCTCGACAACGTCTGATGACACCACTGTCTCTGTCACGGGAAGCGATGCTGTTACGAGCCTTGTTGTTGTGACGCAGACCCGGACGCCCACCGACACCCTACCAAGCGGCACCACCACCTCCTCGACCTCTACGGCAACCCCCAATGGCGTCGCCGGCAAGGACCACAGTGGTGGCCTTGATTCCAAAGCAAAGGTGGCCATTGGTGTCGTCGTGCCCATCGTTGCCATTGCCATCTTGGCCGTCATTGGGCTGTTCTTGTGGAAGAAGCGTCGTGCGCGCAGGGCGGCAGAGGCCGAACGTCGTAAGGAGGTGGAAGATTATGCCTACAATCCCAATGCAGACCCGACTATTCCAGCCGTGGGCATGGCGGGAGGAGACTCATATGAGATGAGAGAGGAAGGACCCGCTGGCTATCGCGGCTGGGGATCAACCACGCTTGGTGGTTCAACTGGCCGCAAGGCTTCGACTACGATCTCGGGCGCCACCAACGGATACTCCGACATTGGCCCTTCCCGAGGGAACATGTCCGAATCGGCTTTGCTGGACAACCCTGAGGGCGAGATACTTGGCGCCATGGGTCCATCAGCTGCCAACAACCGCGGCGACGTTCGACGAGGGGCTTCCAATGCCTCTTCTTCGTACAGCGCAACCGGCAGATCAGACGGCTCTGACTCGGGACCAGGCATGGCCTACAGCTCTGGCGGTGGCGGCTACTATGATTCATATGGCCAGAGCCCCTACGACGCCGGCTTTGGCGGTGCTGGCGAGATGCCTGCTCCCCCCATCATCCGTGATAATCCCGCGCGGCGCAGCACGCGCGTGGAAAGCCCTGGTCACTTTCCTCAGCAGAGCGCTGGCATTTCCCAGAATTTCTAAATGCGACTAAGAGGTGGTTGTCACGCTCGAAAGATGGATACCCCCGTTTTAGCCGGCTGTCTTGGGGTTGGGAAGACTGCTGGAGGAACATGAGGCGTTTTTGGGATTTTTGCCATCACTTTGTTTAATTCTGCTTTTTTGCATACGATGAAATCTGCCTTGTTTCGCCTCTTTTTTCCTCTTTCATCGTTTTACGCTCCTTTTACTCGAATATCTTGGTTTCTGCACCCGACGCAGCACATTACGGTACATTTGGCACGTGTTTCTGATTCGACGGGAATGAGAGGTGGTTTAATATTGGGCTGTACAAGGGAAAACATTGCTTGAGAAGAGGGAGATCCGCACGTTTTTCCTCTTTTTGTTCCCTCTTTACATAAGAGGAGGCAACTAATGGGATTATTGAAGACGTGACTATAAACATTTGCTCCTCGAACGCGAGCAAATGTGCCTTGCCGGTCATGACAAACGAGAGACTGCGGAAAGAAGAAGATGGCACGTTTGGACAACAAAAAGGGGGAGAGAGGGGAGAGATACGCGCTTTGTACATACAGAAGAAAAAAAGTACTTATATGCATATGCATCTTTTGCATCTGCGGGCGTAGCGTAGTTGGAAAGTTTCTCTCTGTTTTCCTGTTTCCTGCTGCTGCTTTGCCCTGGTTTTGGTCTGACTGAGTTTTGTTGGTTTGCGTGCCTTTTGCCCTTTTGTTTCTTCTTTTTTTCCTCCTCCCCCCCTTTTTTCTCTTCGAATCGGAATAGCCCAAGCATACTTATATACTAATACATACATACATACCTTGTCGTTCCACCCCTTTTCACAGTTCGACTCTCTAAGAAATGTGTCTGATTGTGTGTGCAATATTGCTACACTCGGGAAATTTTCACTCCAAGTTCACCAAGTGGCTTGTAATTTTGCAAATTGCTAATTGAGTGAATATTGATGCCGGACATGGGCCTGCACTTGTTACTCTCCAACTGCCGTACAGACGCTTTGGTTCAAGTATTCCTCGTAGATATCCTTCATCAACCGTTTGAAATCAACCCATAGTGTTAAACATTCCCTTTTCGCAGGGCCACAAGTCCTCATTTCTGTTCCTCTTTCTTCATTTCTTCTCTCTCCAGTCAAGTTCGCCCCTGTCACGCCTTCAGCCAAGCCGATGCAGTGCCTCGCTCGCCCATCCCCTGACTCAACTCCATGCGGTCCCACCAAAACCGGCATTGCTCCAACTCCCTATCCGTGAGTTGCCTCGTCTTGACCGGCGTGCCAAAGCGTTTCCCTCCGGCGGCTTCATCGTTGCCCTCTCCAAAGACGAGCAGTTCACCAATCCCTGCCCCAGAGAGAGCTGCAGCAGAGCTATCGTCTCCCAGAGGGCTTCGAAACACAGGCCAGGCTTCCTGCTCGTCGTCATTGTTGAGTGTCCCAGAGGGTGACGCGCAAAAGGATGTCCAGCGGTAGTTCATCTCCTTTGCCATGGCCTGGAGGCCGGGCGTCGCCTCCAGCGCGTTCAATTCAAGTGTTACGGCCGACGTCTGGTCACCATGAGACGCTGCACTAAATGGCGCCGAAAGAGGAGCGTACTCGTAAAGATATACGCGGGCACCAGCTCGAGATAGTGTGTGCGCCGTGTGAAGGACAGGGCAAATGTAGGCGTAATGGCCGTAAGCCTGATGTATGCGACGGAACTGCGCGCCATAAGAGCGCTTCTGAGGGCCGCCTATGCCAGGGGGTTGGCGATAGGGTGAGTCTGGGTGGATGAGAGGATCCGGGTACAGCAGCTCTAGGGCGTCGAGGTCGTCTGAGGAAAAGGAAGGGATAAGCTTTTGGAAGAAGGAGCGGAATTCGGCGCTCATGGAAGCATGCTGGGGGGCAAAGGTAGTGCCCTCGTGAGAGCAGAAGCCGGTGATGATGGACATGTCCTTTGCTCGTCCCGAGGCGACAAATTGGCGCCACAGATTCAGGGGCAGATCGGGAATGACGCCTTTGGGGCCATCAACAACGGGCTGAAAGGGCCACGTCACAGCTGTGTGATTCATGGCGTAGAGAGCAAAGCTAGCATCAATGAGGGAGTCGACCGGGAGAGACTCAAGCGGCTGGCTCATGGCATACGCTTGAAGCTGGAGCATTTGGCTGACGGTGCGAGCATGTAAAGGTGAAAGAACGGAGCGTGCGGTGGGAGAGCCAGACTCGAGAATGGCCTTGCGGAAGGGAAATGGAGATGGATTGAGCATGTGATGTCCAACCTGAAAAAAAGGGCGAGGGGGAAAGAGATGTCAGTACTCCTCTGCTCTGATATATCCAACCGCCATATCCACGCACCGTCGGATGGCCCTTATTTCCAAGTTCTGCAAGCATGTACTCACCGAATGTGCTCCAGCACTCGCTCCCAAAAGCGTGATATTATCAGCATCCCCCCCAAAGTGGCCAATCCACTCCCTCACCCACTCCAGCGCCACCCTCTGGTCCTTCAGCCCCAGGTTGAGCTCCTGCGTCTCCGACGCCCCGGCCAAGAACCCCAGCGCGCCCAGACGGTACGAGATGCTGACGACCATGATCGGCTGCGGACTCCAGGCCATAAACGACGCCAGATCCCTCTCCAGCGGGTAGCCAAAGTTAAAGGCTCCGCCATGAACATACACCACCACGGGCAGGTCCTTCAAGGCATCGCGCTCAGCATCGTCCACCTGGTACCTCAACGGCGACGCCGACCCCGAGGGCCGAAAGACGTTGAGCGTCAGCGGACTCTCCGCCGTCGGGAACTGGGCCATGGGGATGGGCTGTATATGCGCCGGTAGCGAGGCCCTGTATACGCCCAAGGCCTCGGACGGCGGCAGCGGCACGGCGGGGCAGAAGCGCTGGGCGGTGGCATAGGGGATTCCGTAGAAGAACTCCAGGGCTCGAGGGTACTTGGCTGATTCGTGCTGAAAGGTGCCCACGAAGGTGCAGCCGTTGACGGCGACGGTTGGGCTGTCGCTCGTGTCCATGGCGATGTATATTTCAGATGTGAGGATTGACGTCAGAAACGCTGGTTTGGATAATGACGTCGAGGCCAGAGAAAAGACGACCGCGGAAATGGATATCTTAAAGAGATGTTCAAAAAGACAAAATAAATAAATGATGATGAAGAGAAGATGGGGAGATGAGATGAGCTGCTGTTATTGAGTATGTCGTTGTCGAGGTCCTTCCCTATTCTGGCTCTTGCCTCATCAGTTAGCAGCCCATCGAGCCTTCTTCTAGCTGACAGCTGCAGAGGCGGCAGGTAGGGCACCAAGCTAAGGCAGGCCGCTCCTGCTGTGGTAGAGTAAGATGCACGTTTCCTTACTAAGAGGCCATGCTGCCGCTCTCATAATATGTTTGTAAGTCGTATCAAACAAAACAGAGCATCACGGACGAGAAGGAACGTGTGGATGAAGTGGAATGGAACAAATCGATAGTGCGGGCAATAAAAACTTGCACGCAAGCGAGGATGTAACGATGCGTCTTTATTTTAGCCTCGTGTTATCAATAAAAATGATCTCTAGAAACCCGCCGAGCCAACAAGACTCCGGCGCATTCTTGTCAGACTAAATCGATCAAACACGGCAACTCAAGGCTTCACCTCATAGGTATTGTTTGATCTCTTCTATTGCAAGCAGTCTAGCCTCGATTGTGTACCTATCTAGTATCTAGTACTATAATCAATAAGGTTGTAGAGCCTTGCCTGAGTAATAGCAGTACTATTTGTATTCTTTCAGCTCTGCCAGCTCGACGAAGTGCATATCCTTAAGGCACTCTTGAGTCGTGCAGCCGCCAGCTCGGGAGCAGATCCCTTTAGCCTCGCCCACTCTCAACCCACCCGTCCACTAAACAGCCGCCCAATTACTGGCTGCAGAATTGTCAGCCCAGTCGTCCATCTCAGTACTCTCTCAGTGGTAACACCAAGCATCAACAATCGCTGTGATTGATAGCAGTGCGTGTCTTGCTTGCCTCGCGGCAGCAACAGTGGGATTGCTCCCGGAAACGCAAAATGTCTTTGTATCCCCAAGTGTCAACAAACGTGCGACACGCCACCTGAAGAACCCCAAAACTCCAGCCCATTCCCTAGGCATTTATACAGCGAATCCATAGCAGAAGTCGATGCTCTCGTCGCCCGTCCAGTCACCTACTTCGTCCATGTATTCGTTGTTTGCCTGAGGCGCCTCAGACAGAACCAGCGTCCCTCTCGAGAGACAGAAAGATAGAAACAAGAAAAGGAAAAGAACAGAGAACGAAAGCAACACCGCGCAGGAAGAAACAACAAATACCGGAAACGAAAACGAAAACAAACGCGAAAACAAGGGTATGATGTATGATGCAAACAGTAATGAAATCAAAACAGTCAACAGCAGCGCCCAGCTCCAGCAGCGTCACTTGCCGGCAAGCTCACTGGCCCGTTATCTGCTTCATAGACGCCGCCTCCTTCCGGCGCTTCCTCTCTGCCCACTCTCGACTCGCCATTCTAGAGCGCTCGGCAGCCTCGTCTCGAGCAGCTTTGGCCGTCATCGGCCTGTCAAGCTTCTCGTGGCTCTTCTTCTCCTTGAGGGTTGCAGAGTCCTGGATTTCCTTAGGCCGGGGCCGCAGCCGTGTCGCCATGCTTTCTATCGACAGAGGATTCTTACTCCTAGCAGCGCCGACCATCGACGACAGTATCGATCGGTTGATAGATTCAGCAGCTGCCATCATGGAGCCACGGAAGCGCGACTTCTCCGCCTTGCTTACGGTGGGCGTCGTGGGCTCATCGCGCACAAGGCCTAGCGAAAGCCGCTTCACCTTTTGCGCCGAGGCAGCCTGTCGCTGTGCCGCTTCCTCCTGAATCTTGGCTTGACGAGCCCGGCTTGCCACTGTGTCTCGTGGAAGTGTGCTAGGCGTAGAGGCTGGCTTCGCAGGGCGCGCCTTGAACTCGCGCCTCTTGCGCTGCTCCTCTTCCTCAGCCCGCAGCTTGGCCTCCATTTCCTCCCTTTTGCGGCGGGAAATGGTATCTCCGGGCAGCTCAAAGGTGGACTTGGATTGAGGCATGTTGCTTCTCGGCTTTGGGGGGGCTTCCAGTGCCTTGGCAGCCGCCGCATGATGCGCCTCGCGGGTGTCGCGAGCTTCTTTCAATCGTCGAGCTACAGCCTTACCTGGTAGCTCAAAACTGGGGATTGTAGGCGCTTTCGAGGACCGGATGGAAGACTTGGCCACCGTCGCCAGGGTGTTTCCGGCCTTGGACATGAACACACCGAGGCCCGACCGGTGGCTCGAGGATCCCTTGACGGGCTGCTCTGGGCTCCTCTCCCGTGCCGTTAGAGAAAAAGATCGACGCGGCGTCGCGCTGACCTTCTCGGTAGGCTTGACGCGGACCGTGGCTGGCGTACACGCTGCCATCGATCTCTTCATCGCCCTCATTGCTTCTTCTGGAGTTTGCTGAGATGCAACAGCCTTAGGATGTTGAGGCCTTGTCACCAGGGCCAGCTGCCGGGGGCTCGTGTACTCGTTAAGCGCCTCTAACTGGTCCTCGAGCCGATCCAGCTCCTCCAGCGAGTCTTCTATCCGCGGGAGCGAAAAGGACGTGGCCCGTGACGAGCTTTCTCCAAAGCTTCTGTCGCTCACTGCGGTGAACGTCGGAGACACTGCACTTTCAACGGCAAGAACAATCTCGGGCACCTTCATGGGGGGCGTTCCTGGATGGCTGTTGTCCATCCAGGTGACGGAATCGTCCTCGCCGGCAATTCGGGGTTCCTGCATCTCCACGGTCCAGTTGGCGCTGTACTGCAGCGGCGTGGCCAGTAAGTAATATGAATTGAGCGGGCACTCGCTGTCGCTATGCGGTCCCCTTTTCTTCTGCAGGACTAGGTTGCAGACGTAGGCTTTGTCGCCTTCTCCGTGTTCAGCAGCGTATTCTTCCGAGGAGCTGTCGTGAATGGAAGAGTTGTTGGAAGGCAGATGGGTCATCAGCCATTCAAACTGGCCCGCCGAGTGTCTCTTGACTTGCTCCCAGAGAGAGCCTTCGGCAACCGTATCCTTGAGGAGATCGTACACTTCGGCGAAACGCTCTAGGAGAATCGCAAAGTATGTCAATGACTGGTTGCAAAGAAGGAAAAGAAGAGAGCAGATGATTGCGACCGTATGCCAACACACCTTGAGATGCACGAGTGGAGGGTGGTCCCGTGTTCTCATAATTGTGCTTGTTGACGGCCAGAGCAGATGCTTCTCGAAGGGAATCGAGAGGCTGAAACGTCTCAGAATCAATGGCCGGTCGACGTCGAAATTTGGGTGAGGCTTGTCTGGCTGCTCGATGGAGAGCCGAAGGGGAGGTCGTCATGCCATGTCCCTTCCGCTCGCTGGTCATAGCAACGTCTGATGGCCGGCATTGACCCTGTCCGTGACGTTGACCCGGGCAGGGACCGCGAGGACCCTGGACAACGCTATCACCCGCTAAATTCCGCTTGCGCGTGGTGATTTGCTTTGGCTTGAAATGAGGCGGCAGTTTCTCGTAAGTGTCACGAGAGCTGGCTGCCGGTAGTGCTGCTCGCTGAAAGATGTCTGCGCCAAAGCGGACGTCAAAGGTGCCTCTGTTGTGCACGGCGTCGAAGCCATTACCCTCTGCCACCGACAAAGGTGTCACGTTGCGCCGACGCATTGCCTCAGCAGTTTCTCGGGGGTGTTGGTGTTGGAAGGCGAAATTGGACTGGAAACTTCGCAAGCAGGGGGTTTCTATCAGATACGGCACAAATGAGTCGCTACGACTCCGTACCCGGAAGCGCAGCTAATTTCGCGGACAGGCCGGAATCGGGTGGTCGTAGGCACAGACGGGGGCCGGCTCCAGTTGTTCGCGAAGCCTTCTATTTTCGAACTAATAGAGGTGAAATGAACCAAGACTGCTGTGATGATGCTGTTTTGGGGATAGTAGTGGTATAAGGCAAATGATCTCTGAGGTAAATCAGCTGGAGCTGGTCTGCCGTAGGAAGCTATTTTGGAGCCAAATGTTGGTTTCCGGGTGGTGACAAGTTGCCGTGGCCATATGGTGGAGCCGAAATGAAATGAATCCGATCGCTTTCCACCTTCCTCCTTGCTGCGCCTTGGCCCGCGCTTCTTGCTTCGACCTTGCTGGCCCATCGTCATTTCGCCTTCCCCAGTCGCCGGTCTTATCACTCCCTTTCTATCGCGCATGCCTTGTTCTTGCAGTGGCGAGCGGCATCCAGGCCAGGGCGAGGCAGCGCATTGCGGTTTCTCGTCGGAACCGCGGTATGCCACCGGCGTTAAGGGTGGGAAGTTGCCAGCCAGCCGGTACTGGTCCATCGCGCATCGTGCATCGTACCCCGTTGATGCATGACAGAGGATACCTCTTATCAAGGTTTTCGATCGTCAGCTCCATATTCTGGGATAGATATAGGATGATCATCTGGGGTACAGACTTGTATGGCGGCAGGCCATGGCAACGCAAGAAGAGTTGCATGTAAAGCTTGCAGCAGTGGCGGCGGTATGCATGCATCGACAGAACACGTGCCGTGGCCCCTGCGATGACACTCCTTGCCTCATATGAGTACTACTCGTATTCCCATAAGAGCCTTTCGATGCCAATGAGCTCGAGGCGAGGCTCCCAAAAACCGTTCGCGCACAAGCACTGGTATGATAGTACTCAGTGCTGCGTACTTCGGACCATCAAGCTAGTCAATTCGATGCTTTCGAATGACGGCCATCATGCGTGCCACCTCTGGCCTAGGAGTCTGACATCAACTCCTCGGTTGCTGCTTCTGCCGCGTCGGCCTGCGCTTGCAATGTTGGCGCATGCTCCGTAGGAATGCGAACCAGAGTCTGCGGCAGCGGTACGGTGCTTGTTGGAGCTTCTTCCGTGGCACCACCGGCCGCTGTCTTTGCCAGTTTTGCTAGGGGTCTGGTTAAGTAATTGCGCATCTGTAGAGAAGAGATGATGGACCTACATGAAGCCATGTTGATGGCACGAAGCACGTTATGCCAGTTGCCAACCACAGCAGCGATCACTGCCCGTACCGTATCGTCAGCTCCAGTCTCGTAGTCTCGTGTAGATGAAATCAGTGGCTGATAAAGAGTCTCTCTTACCCTCTGTTCCATCAGACAAGGTCGCCAGCTTCTGCTCCAAGGCCTCCATCTGAGTTGCCATGTTTGCGCTCAAGTCTCGCAGCTCCTTGAGGTTTTCGAGCTCTGCCTTTTTCTCCTCGATTCGGGCCACCAATGCCGGTGACTGTGGAGCTGCACCACTGCTCGGTGCTCGCATATGCGATGAGAAGGATCTGGTGGGATACGACATTGCGCGCGATTAGGCGTGGCTCTGGTATAGAGAGGAGTGTGAATTCTCAAATCGTGATTTCCAGTAGCAGCATTGAGCGGTGTGAACTACCTTAGCTGGATGCTTGGATATGAAGGTAGTACTATCATCTCACACAGAAACACACCATCATGAGCTTCACCAACTGAAAAGCATCGCGTTCTTTCCAAGGCTAATCGCGGGGTCCTCAGAGAGCTGTCTGCAGCTCACGTGCTTTTCCCCCCGGCAACCAAAGTCCTTTGTGTACAACTGGTCTTGCCGGCGTACACGAATGCGAACGGCGCTAGGCCCAAACAGGCCGCGGAGTAAATAATGACACAACCAAAATTATCCCGCCCAAAGAACTCCTGCAGACCGACTTCTCAACCACTCTCGATACCTAAAGAAGCACATCCGACGACCTCAAGTAACTCTCCCCTCGCCGGGATTTGCGCCGCGGACTCGCGCGTCTTGTGAGCAGCCATGGCCAGGCTCAATGAAGTGCCGGTGCCGACAGAGAGCCTCGAAACGCGTATGTGGTCTCGGGCATCAAAATCTGACTTTGCCGCGTGTTTGCTAACAAACATACGCCCCTTGTGTGCCGTTCAGTTCGCAAGAAGATGCTTCGCCAGAATAGGGAACTCGCAAAGACAAACAACATACGGGCTCTTCGCATCCGAGAGCTGGAGAACGAATGCGCCTGTATGCTCTCCGAGAATCTCGAGCTCCGCAGTCGCATCCTGGAACTGGAGAAGCAAGTCGAGGACAACGAGGCGCGGAGGATAGCGGACCACGCGATGGCCATCAAGGCCAAGCTGGAATCGCAACTCACGGAATGGGGCACCCTTATTGCTGGATTGGGCCTGGAGCCACCCGCGAAGAGACACTCTCCCATGATTAAGCGGAGGGCAAAGCAAACCATGAGCTTCAGTGCGAGTCGACCCAGTCCTTCCCAGAGGCGGCTGCGTGATATTGCGAGAGACATTGAAGAACTGGGCCCCATTGCCGAAGCTAGGAGCAATCCTCGGAGGTCAATGAAGTGAGGAGACTGGCTCCTTATCACAGCTGTTAGTCGCTAACAGATGCATAGTCCCGAGCAGATTATGGCACTCCGGTCAGAAGCCAATGCAGAGGCCGAGTCGCCCGAACTGGGTCCTCCACCAATGTCCAAATACATTGAGGAAGATCCAATCAAGGTTGATTCTCCAAGCAGATCAAGGCCTGTCGAGTCCAGCGATGACGCCTTAACGAGCAGCGCGAAAACTAAGAGGCTGGAGCCACCAATTGTGCTGACGTCGAGACCATATGACAAAGGTCGCGCACCACCAGTGATTGAGGAGGGTGATGAACAAGAAGGCCGCGAAGAGCCAGCGATGGAACCGAGGCGCGATCGGGCGCAGAAGGCCAGGACTACTGTCGAGACTGCACCAGTTCAGCCCATTAAGGCCGGGTCAAAACGGAAATTTGGGGCTCGAGACGACAGTGAAAATATCGAGCCCCAAAAGACGACGGATGAGAACAGCCTCGACAGGATACCGGCTGGAAAGCGACTGCTTCATGACAAGGGTGATGCCGCGAGGGATTTTGCTAAAATGAGGAAGAAATCGCAGTTGGAGCTTTCAGAAAACGTTCGAAAGCCGTTGGCAGCCAAGAGTACAAACGACGACATCATCAACTCTCCAAAGAAACTTTTGAAGACGAAGCCGTCAGTGGGCGACGAGATAGCAACAGCGAAGCTCAATGCAGCGACGAAACCGAAGGCGCCAGTCGGTCGACCCAGACTAAAGCCGAAGAACCCCTTGCCCGCCGCGGCTGAGCCCGTTCCCATTCTCACGATTGAGCCTCAAGAGACGACAGTTGAGATATGTGACTTGGCAGCGCCTATCAGAGAACCAGCGCTATTAATGCCGAGCTCTCCAGTGGCCACTGAAGGGCCGGAGGGATCTCGAGTTGGGGACACGCCTCCCCCTGCTGATATCTCGTCCAATGGGGAAACATCGCGGCCTAGTAGGAGGAATCGGACGACGATCAGCTATACCGAGCCCAACCTAAGAGCCAAAATGAGACGGCCTACCAAGGAGTTATTCGATGCCGTGACAGGAGAGGGCAAATACGCTCGACGCGCCAGCACTTACGATCCTGCCATGCCTGAGTCGGCCAAGAGCAGACGAGAGACGGCCATCTCCGACATTGCGGGGCTTGCAGAAGCAGGCAATGGTCCAGCCAGCCCTCTTGCGACGAAGGATTTGAACACAGACCTCATTCTAAGCGGCGTCGTTACAGAGCGGCGAAAACGCTCGTCGAGCATAGCATCGAAGGCGGTGGGAATGGCGGGCGGCGGCCTAATGGACGTGGATTCCTCCGAGAGCACCAAGGATTCTAGCATCACCCTTGACAGCAGTGGCTTGGCAGAGGGTGATGTTTATGAGTTTACGAGCGAGTCACCGCCGCCTCCACCTGCGAAGGAAGAAGTCAAAGTGCCAAAGAAGAGAGGTCGAAGAAGGACCACTACCTCAAGACAATCGGTGATGGCTGACGACGATGATTACGAAGAAGAGGGACTGTCAGCCAGAGAGAGGATGAGCTCCAGACGGAGAAGCATGATGATATGATGACCATCCGAAAGCGGCAAAGGAGCAAAGGGGCGTGAAACATGGGTGTTTCTGGCACGGGAATATGTTTGGGCGTTTCTGGATTACCACGACTGTCGTTTTGGGATACATTACTAGGCGAACTTGAATCTTGTTTCATGCTCGAGATACCAAGCGATGGCGATTATTGAATGATATTTAGTTTATCATTACGACCACCCCTTTCTGTCTTGAACATCTCGTAACGTGTCTCTTGCCCAGCTGATAGGGAGGGTTCCTACTCCAGGCCAAGCTGAGATTTTCCCTCTGGTTTTGTGCCCATCTCTTGGAAGAAGTCGTGTGCCAGTACTTGGCAAGCACCGAAGTCGTTTGTATAATTGGGCCGCGAGGGTAGTGGCTTTTGTTTCCACCTCTGCCGTTGGTGATTACAGTGACTCCTATTACAGCTGCGCGGTCTTCTGTCTATTCCAGTCCTGTATGTCATGATGAGCCCGTCGACGGCTCCACGGGCTTTGTATAAGTAACCTTTTCTACTGCCACATTCTCGTTGCCTTTCTCATCCGTTCTCAATTGGTAGACATAGAGCGTCAATGAAATGCCCTGGACCTGCGACAAAGTAAGCACCACTGCCAGCACAATCAACATACGACACGTTATATATCTCACATCCATCAAGCAGAAACTCGGCGTCGGAGGCTCCGCCGTCAAGCTCGCCCCCGGCAAAAACGCTCCTGTGGCGCTCCCCGGGTTGACAAAGAACTTGTCCATGTACTCGAAAGCGTCGAAACGGTGGGTGCCGCCCCAGCAAAGGACGTCAACGTCCAGCCTGTTGGCCTCGGCGAGCAGCAGGTCGGGCTCGTTGGAGACGAGGGTGAAGCCCTCGAGGAAACCGATGCGGATGCCGCCGTGGGTGACGACCTGCGTCAGGGGGAGAGACGTGGCTTCGACATCGGTGCGGCCCTTGACGATCTTGAGGTCCGGCGACAGGGAGCGCAGGTACTCGTAGGTGTGCTTGTCGGTGAGGTTGCCGAGACACAGGGTCTGGCCGATCTTGCCCGGCGCGAGCAGCTTCTTGAACTACAACCATCCATGCAAGCAAACACACAAGTCAGCCAAACCAGCCCGGTGACAACACAATCCCTCTCTCTTCACTACGTCCTCTAGGGTAAAGGCCATGGCTCCAGCTCTGGCGTACCTTGGCGGGAATGTCCAGCGCCCTGTCCGGGATGTGCAGGTCCCCAATCACGAGAATGAGGAACGTCATGGTTCCTCGCCCGAGGCTGCGAAGTCGGTGGTCCGGAGCGGGAAGTCGAACACTTGGAGCTGGCGAACCAATGACTTCAGCTTGGAGCGAGGCTTGGAGGGGCGCGCAGGTACATACGTCGACGGGCTCGGATACAGCAATGGCCAAGGAACCGTCAAGTGCGGGTTATTGGCATAACGGGAGCCCCAGCCACAGCTCCACTGAAACCCGCAAGCCACAGACGGGATTCTGTACTCGTGGCTTATCGGGTTATCGCTATCGACTGGCGGGGACTGCGATAAGGAATTTTTTGTGCTTCTGCGCTTGGGTTCTGCCATTGTCTCGAATTTTGCAGCCGGCGATGCGGACGGTTTCTGCTCACGCCTAGACGTTTGGACGATATCGACAGCAGAAGATGGCGACTCCGACTCCGACTCTGGCTGAGAAGCTGGACAAGATCAAGTCTCCGGGACTTCAGAGTCAGCAGAAGGTAATCCAAACATTCGGGACATTCTCTGTCGACTTACACAGCTGCTTCTCTCTGGACGTCTGGAATGCTAACATTCTTGCGGTAGACTGTCGTTGTCTTGCAGGCCGTCGAATCCACATTGAAAGAGCAGAACACGGCTCCAACTCCCACTGGATACTTTGCGGCTCTCCTCGCGCTCCTCCAGCAGGCGGAGAACAATGGCAGCGTCAACATCGAACTGGCCACTCCCGTGGTGTATCTCCTCGACGTAGTCACCCCGTTCGCTCCGCAAGCTCTGCTCCGATCCAAGTTCACACAAATTCTCACGCTGCTTGCGCCGGTTTTGCTGGCGCAGGATGCGGAGCCAATTCTTCTCCGAACTTCAATTGGATGCTTGGAGTCTCTTCTCTTGGCTCAGGACGCCGCTTCGTGGGAGTTGTCTGTCACCCAAATTGGACCACGACGTGCCGTCGCTGGACTGCTGAACCTGGCCTTGGATCAGAGACCCAAGGTCCGAAGACGAGCCCAAGATGCGCTTAAAAAGGTGCTCAAAAACCCGCCTCCTACCCCGTCTCTCGACCACCCGGCCGCGGACATGTGCGCCCACACTGCGCTCAAGAATCTGGAGGACCTGGCCGCCCAGGCTCTGCAAGCACGAAAGGGCAAGAAGGCGCCCAGCACGACGCACGACCCGGCGTTGATTCACGCGCTTCAGTTGATCAAGACCGTTGCCTCAGCGAGCGGTGGCTGGCCGAGCACCAAGATTGAGTCTCTCTGCGAGCTCCTCCTCAACATTGCCAAGACGGGCAACGAGTACATGACCATGGCGGCCTTTGAAATCTTCGAGTTGATCTTTGAGGGGATGACGGACGAGCTCACTTCAGCAAAGCTTCCTCGCCTGATGGAAATCATCTCCGAGCTGCGGCCGGCTGCGAATGACACCCAGCTTGTCCCTCCTTGGCTTGCGATTCTCTCTCGAGGATACGATGTGTCGGCGCAGGTCGAACCCGACGAGACGTTCCAAAACCTTCCGGAGCTCTTCACCATGGTGGCGCAATTCCTTCAGTCGGACTCCGAGAACATCCGGATTTCAGCTTCCGAGTGTTTGGTCTCGTTCATGGCGAACTGCATACCGCCGCGTGTGATTGTTGAGCCTTCAATATACGATGAGAAGGTCCTGGATAAAATCGCAAAGGCCGCCGAGTCTCTCCTCAGCGTCCAGTACCAAGCCGCTTGGCTACAGACCTTCAACGTGCTGGAGGCCATTTTCACCAGCCTGCGATGGAGGGCAAACCCGATCATGCTCAACGTCACCCGTACCATCGGAGAGATTCGAGAAAATCCATCTTTCCGGAACAAGAAGGAGGCAGATGAGGTCCTGGGACAGGCCGTCCGAGCCATGGGCCCCGAGGCAGTTCTCTCCATCCTCCCGCTGAACATCATCAAGCCGGTCAAGGGCCAGGCCGGAAGAGCCTGGCTGTTCCCGATCCTGCGAGACTACACCAGCAACACAAACCTGGCCCACTTCAAGAGTGAGATGGTGCCCCTGAGTGAAGTCATGTTCCAGAAGGTCTTGGACCATGGCGAAGCCGAGAAGACGATGGAGATCAAGATCTACGAGACGCTAGTGCAGCAAATCTGGTCTACTCTGCCGGGTTACTGCGACTTGCCTCTGGACCTGATTGAAGCTTTCGACCAGGCTTTTGCTGAGATTCTGGCCAATCTTCTTTACAAGCAGGTCGACTTGAGACTGGACATCTGCAGGGCCCTGAGAACCCTGATCGAATCCAACCAAGCCATTGCAAATATTGAGGAGGAGGAAGACGATCTTCTCCTGCAGAGCCGGGTAACCAAGGCCGCCGCTCGCAAGAACCTGGCTTATCTCGGCCAGTTTGCCGGCAACATGCTCGCTGTTCTGTTCAACGTCTACACCCAGACCCTGCCCCAGAGCCGAGGCCCCATTCTCCAGACCGTGAATGCTTTCCTCAGCATCACTCCTAACCAGGAGCTCATGGCGACGTTTGACCGTGTCAGCCAGATGCTTGCTGGAGAGCTCCAGAATGCGCCAGCTCCAGAGAAGAAGGCTCAGGGGCAAAAGTCCCAGGACCACATGCCATCCACCGCACAAACTCTCATGGATCTCGTCATCACTATTTCGGCATACCTCCCACGCGAGAGCTTTGCTGCTCTGTTTGAGATTGCCACCGTGATCATCAACAGGGAAGAAGAGCCCCAGCTGCAGAAGAAGGCGTACAAGCTGATACCTCGATTGGCAACTTCCGAGCTCGGCAAGGCTGCTTTGAAAGAGCGCAATGCCGAGCTGCAGACCCTCATCCTCTCCAGCTCGGAGAAGGTGTCCGCACCAGCCAGGCGCGAGAGGATCGCTGCCATAGCTGCGCTGCTGCCCTTTATCCCCGACGACTGTCTGCACTTCATCCCCTCCGTGCTGAGCGAGATTGTCATCTGCTGCAAGGAGAACAACGAGCGAGCCCGTGAAAGCGCATACGACCTCCTGGTTCAGATGGGCCACAAGATGGCCGCCGCCAACGGCGCCGTCATCGACAACAGCAAGGTCCCGCACATGCCCAGCGATGCCCCCCCTGCCACGGCCAGCATCGAAGAGTTCTTCACCATGGTGAGCGCCGGCCTGGCGGGCAGCACCCCGCACATGATCTCCGCCTCCGTCACCGCCATCAGCCGCCTCCTCTACGAGTTCCGGTCGTCGCTGAGCGACCAGACGCTGTCCGACCTGGTGCAGACCATGGACCTCTTCCTGACGTCGAACAACCGCGAGATCGTCAAGAGCTGCCTGGGCTTCGTCAAGGTCTGCGTCATCAGCCTGCCGGTCGAGCTGATGATGCCGCGCCTCGACACGCTCGTGCCCAACCTCATCATCTGGAGCAACGAGCACAAGGGCCACTTCAAGGCCAAGGTCAAGCACATCCTCGAGCGCATGGTCCGCCGCTTCGGCTTCGACGCGGTCAACAAGAGCTGCCCCGAGTCCGACAGGAAACTCCTCGCCAACATCCGCAAGACCAAGGAGCGGGCCAAGAGAAAGAAGGACGCCTCCAAGGGCGCTCACGACGACGACGACGCCAGCGATGATGAAGAGGCCGACGGCAAGCGGCAATATGAGAACGAGTACGACCGCGCCCTGTACAGCAGCGACTCGGACGACTCCGGAGCCTCAGACGACGACGACGAGGCCGCCCAGAAGCCGAGGAGAAAAGCCCAAAAGGGCGGCAAGACATACATTGTCGAAGACGACGACGAGCCCCTCGACCTCCTCGACAAGAAGGCCCTCGCCAGGATATCCAGCACCAAACCCGTCAAGCAGCGCAAACCCCAGAGGACAAAGGCCAAGATGGACCTCGACGGCAAGCTCATCCTCGGCAAGGACAGCGACGACGAGGACAACGGTGCCATGGACGTCGACCAGCCCGGCCGCGGTGGCGAGGACTCGGGCGTCGGCGCGTATGTCGCCGCCATCAAGGGCCGCGACGCTGGCAAGCGCGGCCGCGGCGGTAAGCTCAAGTTCTCCAACAGGCGCTCCAAGGACGGTGACGACGGCGACGAGATGGACGACGACACCGCCGTGGCCGTCAAGAACGGCATCAGCCCCGGTCGCGACCGCGCCGGTCCCCGAGGCCGCGGCGGAAGAGGCGGGCCCATGCGTGGCGGCGGACGGGGAGGCCGCGGAGGCAACTCCTTTGGTGGAGGCGCGAGGAGCGGAAAGGGCGGCATCGCGGCTGGTCGGAGGGGACTCGGAACAGAGAAGAGGCATGGCCCGCCGATGGGCGCGGGAGTGGGCAAGGGGAAGAGGGGCCGAAACTAAGATGCTCTTATGGGAAGAAAAGTTAATAGAAGAGGAGTCATGTTCTTTGCTTTGGAGGAAAAGAAACGGTACACATGGCATGATAGGGGATGAAATAGTAGCCTTTGCATGCATCTTATGGATACCCACGAACATCAGAAAGGGGAGAGCTACGAGTTCACCTTAAGTGAGCGGATGTGGGTTGCGTGGTAACTTTGCATTTACTAGTATCTTATGAAATACATCTTTGTCTGTTCCAATGCTTGCTCATAGGTACTGTGATAATGCGACATAATCGCCTTGTTCAAAGCACTCGAGAACTCGGACATTCATCAGTTCAACTCGTCTTGAAACACGATCCCTTTCTCTCTAGCATAAAAATGCATCATGTACTCGTGAATGCATCATGTACTCTTGAATGTCCATGAATACTCGGGACCTTTGTCCCAGGCCCTCCTGCATCTCAAAACAAACAAACAATGACCGTTGGCTTCCCTCCCTCTGGGTATCTAACGCGGTGCTTCTCCGTGGCCAATTTTGGCAAAAAGGACAGCGTTGGGGTATAATAACACGAGTTCCATCAAGCAGAATTCCTCCCTTCCATGCTTTACCATGCCGAATGAATCAAAGGAACAAAACAAGAAGAGAGCATAACCTTTCCCTCTCAACGTGCTCTTAATCGATGCTGCGCAATGCCTGGTGCTCGAAACTCCACACAATGAAAAGGAACAAGGGGCGAGCCGACATGCCGTCCAAGGCTCGCTAGTCGATAATAATCACGTTCGGCGCTGGCTGGCCGAAATTTCGTGTCTCTCGTCTGGGCCCGTATCGTTCATTTACCCCAATAAGGCGTGTGCTGACAGGATGATAGACGGGGTCGAGTTGAGGCCGCGCGGCTTGCCGGTCGCCATGTTGTCGTCTAGAGTAGATTAGTATCACGGCAAAGCCAATTCGAGGCACTTTGTGACTTACATGACCCAATAGCCCTCAGGTGGTGGTGCAGCATACTGTTCGCCGGGCACTTGCCGGGCTGGTGGAACTGCATAGTCCGACTCTCTGTCCAGCGGTTCATACCTCGGTGCTCCATAGTAGTCGCGAGGGGAATAGGGATGAGGCATAGGCGCATGGGGTGCATTGGGCGGACGGGAGCGAGGGTCAAGCCGGGCATCAATCTCAATTTCTGCAACGCCGCGCCGTTCGCCTCTTTGCCTCATGCGCTCTTCCCATGATAGCATCGCTGTGTGAGGCCTGATATTACCCTGGGCCTCACCTTGTGCTTGTGTCTGGGATGGGTGGCTGGCTCGCAGTTGGATTCGCGAGCTGCGCTCTGGTGGAGGGTTGACCCTTTCATAGTATCCGCCCCTATCCTCCATAAGGATGGGGTTTGCCCGCTCTCCAGGGCGGGGTGCGTTGAGAACGATCCTGCGCGTCTCCGGAAGCCTGATAGCAGAACTTGACCCTGGGTTGCCAGACACCGGATGATAAGGAGAGGATGTTGGCTGTGCTCCGTAGTCAGTGGACTGCGGATAGACAGGGCCGCGGAAATCACGCGATTGGACAGATTCTCTACTGGAAATAGCATCGACGTCCATGGCAACTTGCGGCCTGAGAGAATTGGCAGTTGCACGTGCAACTGGGGTGAAGTCCCTGGGATGGATTCCTTCTCCTGAATATGAGACAAGCCTGGGAGCAGGTTGAAAGCCGGCTGCCGGAGTGACTGGCGGCCCATAAGTACTGACAGCAACTTGACTCCGGGGAGGTAAGGTGCGTATGTATGTAGACTGCACGCTTGGGGATGCCGGCTCGATGGAGCGCACCAACATGTCTTGGAAGTGACCGGAGGCCGAAGGGGCCAGCTCGCGAGAAGACGTGCTGCTGGGAAATGGAACGACAGACATTACCTTTTCATGAGAGAACCGAGCGTCGAGGGGTTGACCACGATAGGGCGAGGAAATCAGAGGAGAGGACATCTCGTATAACGGCCGCTGAATTCCGTGGCCATTCAAGCTTGGGGAAGCTCCAGGGGCTCCACCAGGATGAACCATTGGACCTGCGTTGTCATAGGGCCGGACATGAGCGTCATAAGAAGGCCCATTGGGCTTGGATGGTTGATATGCGGCACGGCCAATCGCGAGATCCGGAGAGGGTCGCTCAACCAATGGCGTTTCCCCTCGATTACGTCTAATCGCCTCTTCCCACGCGCGGTATCTTCTGAAACCCCGCTGAGCTCTCCTGTCCTCTCTGTGACAACGGTCCATGTGCCTCGATTCCACCACGCTGGGAGGACAAGAAAACACGGGAGCGGTATCTCGGGTGGGAGATCTGGGAGGGGAGCGATCTGGCTGATCCACAGGACGATGCAAGGGCTGTGCTGACCGATCCTCAGGCATGGGTGTGAGCCCGGCATGGTCAGCAGCATCTTCATCCGACGTGAAATCGGTCGACTCCTCGTCTTCGTCCTCGTCTTCCTCATCGTCATCGTCCTCTGAATCAGAGATGACTACCACCTCGCGCAAGATCTCATCCAGCTGGTCACGGCCGGTTTCCTCGTCTCCTCGCCACTTGACGAGGATGTCGAGACACAGCGACTCTACAGTTTTCCGGGCGTTCTGCCAAGTTGTCTCTTTCAACAGAGCATCATACCGCGTATGGACATGCCTGATGTGGGCGAGAACTGCCAACTGGACCCTGCGAGAAAGGGTCAAGTGCTCGGAAAAGCCGACAGGGTTTTCAGATCGATTATTTGATCCCTATGGAAGACATTATTGTTCGCCATAGGCCTTTGTGAGGTTCAGGTGGGGTGGAGGGGGAGGAAGGAGATGGAACAAACCCGAGTGAAAGAGTGCTCGATTATCATCTGACGGTCAGTATTGGGGACCCGTGGGAACAGGTCTCTAATGGCGGCATCGACCTGAGCGTGATAAACCGCCTGGGACTGGGGGATGGGCTCAGGGCCTGCATCTGTTACCGGACCGAGACGGTGAGGTATATCGCCTATGTTTGCCTTGGCCTCTTCAACGATGACTTGCCTGATATGATGGCCTATTCGATGCATCTGATGGGCAAGCATGTTTTCATCAGAACATTTGGCATTCTAAAACTTCGAGGTTAGATGAACAGTCTCCATCAAGGGGCGCCGAAGGGCTCCGACGCACCGAAACAATGAAAATCATGGCATCCTTCTCGCGGGATAGTTCTTTGCAGGCTGCCGTCAGCTCGGGGTTGCCGATGGGGACAAATTCGAATCCCGGTGGCGGGGTGCTTTCCGTCGTGATCTGATATGGTGAGTGAGCATCTTTCCGCCAGAATCAACAGGCGACAAACGATGCTGAATCCGTGGCGTTCAACGTCCGCGTACCTGATACTCCAGCTTCTTCTTCTTCTCCTTGTTCTCGACCAGTTCGAAATAAGAGTGGTGCTTTGACTTTGGTATCGGCGGCTTGGCGACAAATCTATCACGAGGCGGCGAGAGAGGATCACGATACTGGGCTCTCTGCGATCTCCTGTGCCGCTCCTTGGGCCCAGAGGCGGCCCCTGGGACCAGGGCTCGTCGTGTTCTTCCCATCTTCAGCAGCTATCAGAGACGCATATCATGACACGGCGTTCATCCAGGAGATGGAGGACAGTGTTAGCATAACAGAGAGGCACAGTTCACCGGCTCGATACGCGCTCAAGGTTGCATTCACGAGCCGACGAGATGCTGCATGCAAATCTCGCTCGACGGGGCCGCTGCAGCAACGAGAGGGGTCGTCTCTGGCTCAGGGAAAAGCAATGCAAGGAAACAAATCTAAGAACAGAGGCGTGGGTCCGGCGCGGCTGGACGAAGAGAGCCTGAACGACCAGTCTCTCGTCTCTGTCGAGGCTGCCCGATTATACCAGCGAGCGAGAGGTGGGCCGAGGTAATACAGCAGCGGCCGCTTTCAGATGCTCTGCCTGAAGCTGGCTGGGCTTCGACTGACGAGGCGCTGGAAGCTGGCAAAATGCGTGACCTTGTGGCAGTTTTGACTTGACGCGAGACTCTCTCATGATTTTGGAATTTGGGCAGCTTGATGCGTTTTATTACATAATCACGTGAAGCGCTGGAACAATGGTATTCCCCTTCCGACGAGCGTTCGCATAAAGGGCGGGGCAAGAGGCGAGAAGGTGACGGACGAGTTGGAGGAGGGAAGGCGCTGCAATGGATCTTATTGCTCAGCTGCAGGCACCAGTTGAATCACTTTTTTGAGGTTATTGACGCATGATATGGAAGTCAATCTGATGAATTTGAAATATGCGAATCGGGGACTGAATGAGACATATTAAATGAATCGCAGTGATGAATCTACAACAGCTCGCCGGTCAAGCATTTCCCAAAGAGGATAACGATTCACGGCACCGTGAACAAGGTCCGGCTGGTTATGTCAGAGGCAAATCTTTGGGTAAATGATCCGCACACCATCCGGGATTGGCACAGCCGCGGAACAGCCAGCTGAGGAATGATTGGATCAGCCTTGATTCCAAGGCCGACCGAGTAAGGAGGTGGACGGGAGACTCGGTGGATGGATGGAGATGCGACGGCAATGGGCGGCCTGCTTGATGGCCAAACAAACGGCTCTTGCCATGAAACCAACGCTGCTCCACGGCCTTGGTGGAACCACATCGTCTTTGAAGGAGATTCTCGTTGGACTGAATCGCAGAAAGACACTGTGAATGCTTCGAGTACGAGTACATCCCTTCGTAAAAGTGCGTACCGCAACATACCTACCTATGTACATGGGAGTCAAAAATAGAAGCATCGCACGTTGTGTTGGGCCGCATAGCCTTGAGAGCCTTGAGCAGTTTCAGCTGGACATATAATTACTATTAGCCCAGAGCAATGCCGTGTCAGGACCTTGCCATTGAAACATGCGCAGAAAGGCAGCAGCGGCCAGGCATTCAGTCAGTGATTGACGAATACAAGTCGAGCACTCCGTCTACTTCGCACTGAGTTGCTCCGCCCTGCGAGCATCTCAGGAGTACCTGTAGTGAGCTCACTGCCGACTCAGCCGCTACCCAGCCGGCAAGGCGGCACCTTGATCACGAAGAGCCAAGAGGAGGATTCAGATGGTGGATGGAATACTTTGCCATCAATGCGGAGTGCTTGATGGTACTTCGTACATGCGATGCTTGGTTCGGGTTTGATGCGGTTACGTGGGCAAGGACCTCAGCCACAGCCAATCCTGAAAGCTGAGCGGTGGGTGAAATTGCCTTTTGACTTGAACCAGGCCTTGGCGATGTGACGAGGTGCTGCCTCAGGATGATACCGGCGATCTTGGTTGGAAGAGCTCGAGAGTCGAGATTGGCGGTTCTCCAGTCGAGCTCAGATCTTGTTTCGCAATTTAATGGAGCCACGACTCGGCTCGCTTCAAGAAAACCAGCCAGGCAATGCTCGACAGGAGTCGAGTCTCGCAGAAGAGGAAGACGGCCGGCATGAACCAATCAGAGGCGCAGCGATTCGCCTCGCCAGGGATGACGGCAAGCCAATGAAGAGAAGCTCGCGGTGAAACACTGCCACCGCCATCAATCTCGACCAACGAGCGTCGAACGAGTTGGCGAGAACGAGAGCGACAGCATCACGTGAGGCCTGGTGACTCAGCAACCCCCTCGGAGACCGAGGAGTCCATCCATCATGATTTTGGTGCGAAATGCTAGACGAGACTACCTACTGAGATGGATGGAAGATGGGAACGGGCTGCACAGCCACCAGACCGGTGGGGAGAGACTTGGACGATACATGCAGACGCTGTGAATGCTGACGGCAGCTGAAGAGATCTGGAGTACTGTCCAAGTAGAGCCTTGGATTTGTGCTAGCCTCCTCGAGGAATGATTACGCACCGTCGGGCAGTTGAGCAACCCGAAAGAGCGGAACAAATCAATCTCTCGTGCGAGTATACTTTCGCGGTGATGCTTCGATACGATACATACGACTCGTTGCCTTTTGGCGATGGGCAAGGTATGGGCCCGAGTTGGAAGCGAATGCGATCCAGCCACGGAGCCGGAGATATGGAGCATTTGCACGTGGGCGACCATGTGTAAACTTCGTGGTCAACAACGTTGTGAACGTGAAGGACGGATCAGCCAGATCAGCCATATTATCCAGCGCCGTGGTTTCGTTCTTCTGGCTTCCATGCAGCTGCCAGGTGGTAGACCAGATAGCTTGGTAGCATCACGACCACCGCCATCCCTCTGTCGTTATCGCTTCCTCCCATGCGCGCTCGCTCTGGCGTCGTGGGCTGCTTCGTCGGTTCGTTCGTCAGCCCTGCGAATCCCCGAGCCTCTGCGCTGGCCGTTCGGTTGGTGCACCCGGGCCGGACCTGGCTTTATCAGGACTGGGCTCGCAGGCATCGCGAGCAGCGCAACGGGGAGTGGACAGAGCAGCAGGCGTGTGGGCCGCGGCAGGGCAGGCAGGCGTCGTCATCGCCAGCGGGTGCGAAGAGGAGCAGAGGAGCAGAGGAGCAGAGGCTGCAAAAGATCCATCGCGCACTTGGGCCCAAAGCGGCCAACGGCCTGCGCCTAGTGGTTGCGCCTTGGTGGCCGCTCACTGCATTAAATGCCCAGGGAAACAGAGGCTTACGCGTCCACTGCCCGCACCCCCGCCGTATCCCTGCACTGCCAGCCGCCAAGGGGCCTCCGCGCCATCCCCTAAAGCCGGCCCCAGCTGTTCCAGGCGTTGGACGGCCTGAGCCAGCGTCTGTGCCTCGCCCGCGTCTCGCCTGTGCCTGCTGGACAGGTGCTGCGCTGCACTGTAGCAGTAGCATGGAGCGCTAGCGAGGCGCCCCGGCCGAATATTGATCCCCAACCTCGAGGCACCAGCCCGACCATCCATAATATCGCCTCTCCCCCAAATCTGCTCCATCGATCGTCCGACACCTGGACTCTCGACTCTTCCTCCCGCATTTTTACCAGCATCTACACCCGCCATCAACCAACGTCTACACATTCCATCATTTGCATGAAGCGCGCTTCCATCTCTCGCACCATCTGCTAGAACCCAGCGAATCCTCTCCATCGCCTCGAGCCGAGTACGACCGCGGCTCACCCGCCATCATGTCGGACAACAACGTTGACCTCGACTCCCTACTCGACCTGTCCGCGTACGATGGCATGCCCAGCTTTGGCTCGCCCTCGCTGTCGCCATCCATGTCGCCGTCCTCGTCGTCCAAGCCCATCTTCGCCAGCCCAGTCACTGCCGCCGTCACGACGCCCAGCGTGATGCCGACCCAGAGCCTGAGCGGGCCGAGCCACAACTACGACATGTACCGCCAGCAGACGGGCTTCGTGCCGGGCGCTATTGCCAACACAATGGCCGTCAACGAGTCGGGCAACCTTGGATACCAGGATTTCGGGAGCCTCGACTTCCTCACCAACGAGGCTGAAATGTTCGACTTCAACGTGTCGCCCTCGCAGAGCACCATGGGACCGGCCGAGACGCTGGACTTTGCATCACCACCCAACACCCAACTCTTCTCGACCATCAACCCCAGCAACATTGAGCAGGCTTCATCCAACGGCTCTCCTTCCTCCACAAGCCAATCGAGCACCGTCGGCCGTCTGTGGCCTGGCGCTCACTCTCAGGCCGCCATGGCCAAGGCCCATGCCCAGCAGAGGCAGCAGCAGCACATTATGCAGCAGCAGCAGGTGCAGCGCCAACCTGGTCAGCCTGCCCAGCAAAGACCTCGCGCCAAGCTGCCGCCAAAGACCGACCCCATCGTCGAGCAGAAGATCAGCCAGCTTCTTCAGAAGATGCGGGCCCAGCCTGCGTCTCCGCCATCTGACAGCTCCACGCCCTCGGCCCACCTGGCCAAAGCCAAGAAGGACGAGGAGGAAATGGACGAGGACGAGCGCCTCTTGGCCAGTGAGGAGGGCAAGAAGCTCAGCAGCAAAGAGCGCAGACAGCTGCGCAACAAGGTCTCTGCCCGTGCTTTCCGCTCAAGAAGAAAAGGTAAGATCTATCTTCCCGTCAGGCGTGGTTCACGCCTGGGTCGCCTCCAAATAATTTACTAACAAGGTTGTAGAATACATTACACAGCTTGAAGCTGAAGTCTCCAGCAAGGTCACAGAAAACAATGACTTGCGTGCGCAGAACCGCGCCCTCCTCGAAGAGAACGAGCGCCTGTCTGGGCTGACTCGCATGCTCCTCGCCTCTCCCTCATTCTCCAGCTTCCTGGACAAGCTCAGCTCTGAATCGTCCGTTGCTGCCCAGCCGCAGGTCAAGCCAGAGCCCCAGCAGTCTCCGGAGCAGCGAGCTGTCAAGGACGTGAACCCGTTCGGCGCTCAGGCCTCTCAGCAGCAGATTGGCATGGCCATGCTCCCTGAGCAGAACCTGGACTTCTCCATGTTTAATGCCGTCGACCCGTTCTACCAGCCCCAGGTGTTCGTCGTCGAGACTGCGGAGGTGCCCTCGTCCATCGAGTCCTCCATCCTGTCGGGCAAGACGTGCAGCTTTGTCGAGCAGGCTTTCCAGTCTGATGACGACAAGGTCGAGGTTCCCGCCATCGAGCGACCTGTCGAGAAGGCTCCTGTCGCCAAGACGGAGTCTGCACCCATCGACGAGGAGTTTGAGGCCGATCCCGAGTTCGCCCTCTTCCACTCCGAGCCTGCCTCATCTTGCTCAGAGTCCAACACCCTGGACACCGAAAGCCTGTCACACGTCGATATCTTTGGTGGTATCGAGCCCGAGAAGATGCTGTCAAGAATCGAGCTCGTCGATGCCACTGAGGAGGAATACACTGCCGCATTCGCCATGGCCCGAGTACAAAGCATCAGCGCCAGCATAGGGTCGGTAGTATCAAGACTAGAGCTCTTGACTATGGACCTGTAAAGAGCAGACAACCCATCTACGAACAGACTCTTTATAATATGCGACTTTTGTTATCTTTGGATCTTATCTCGTGGCCCTCCTTTGCAATGGCAGGGCCGACATGTACAGGGCAAAGGATCAGGTAGCGGCAATGGCGCGGGGTTTTCTTTTCTTCTTTGAATTTCTTTCTATGGGATTTACATTTGGGACACTTTGGGATTGCAACAACTATTATGGGACTGGCTTGAACCTGCCACTCGATCTATTTTCTCTGTATGATTCGATTAGAGTGGGAGTGAACATAAAAAATGCAACATCTGTTTATTCCGCTCATGAGCTCGATGAATATTTGGTGACTAGGCTTGACAGCCTTGATATTCTAGCAGTAATTATGAAGAAATCTACGAAATGAATTCCTTTGAACATAAAAGGTCCACGTCTACTCTCACATTTAGAAGTTGAACCATATGTAACTTGACAGACATATCATAAGCCAACAATAACCCGCTAGGATTTGCTTAAAGCCGCATGCTGCACACCATGGGGCTCCAGATATGGCTTCCATTGATAACTTCTGCGATATACGCAGTGGACCGTATCATCGCAATATATGTAATCTCCTTCCCGCTGCTACCCCCCTAGTTCTTCCTTCATCTTATCGAAAACACCTCCTCCCTCCCCCCATCCTCCTTCCCAACCCATCCCTCCCCATCCATAAGCCCATGAACATAACACTCTCCCACAAGAACCCATCCACCACCAGAACCACCACCACTCGCAGTACCATCATCATCATCATGCACCTCGCGCAGCAAAAAGGGCGTCTTCCCGCCGCGTAAAAGGACCACCACGTCGCCCTCCTGAAGGGCGTCCGGGCCGAGCACAAAGTATCCCCCGCGGGTGACTGCGAAGCGGCGGTAGCGCGTGATGAGGGTCGCTTCGTGGCTCCATTTGAAGGGGTCGCCCGTGAGGGAGAGGGCGTGGATGGAGGGGGAGATGGGGGTTTGCTGCTGGGAAGAAGAGGCGGAGAGGGAGAGGGAGTTTGCTCTTTCGTAGAAGGCGGACATGAGGTTGCTGTTGCTGGCCTTATTTTCATTATAATTGTTGGAGTTGTTGGAGGTGGAGGAGGAGGAGGGGAACGTTCGTGAGGGCGATAACAGAGGCGATGGGGATGGTGATGAAGAGGGGATTGCGTAGCGGACGAGGTACGCCGCTCCGCTGGCGAGCCATTCGTTGGGCGAGACGGATGAGTACGGCCGCGAGCGGTCCATGCCCGTGCAGGCGTTGGTGAGGGTCTGGATGAGGGCGAAGAAGGCGGATCTGCTGTAGTCCTCCTGCTCCTCCGGCTCAGGGGCGGGAGATCTAGGCGCCGTTCGAGAAGGTGATCGAGCTGGCGATGATGATGATGAGGCGGCCGCGGCTCCGGCTTTGAGAAAGGGGGGGTATACGCGGGATAAGGTAAACGTCTGGAAGCCGCAGATTTGCTTCCAGAGGACCTCCATGGGGTGTGTCCGGGAGACGTATTGGTCGCTCTGGCTGTTGCGGCGCTGCTGTACGACTCGGCTGTGCTGATGATGGCTGCTGCTGCTGCTGTTGCCTCTCACCGTGTCTCTACCCCCGGAGACACTGATGCTACTGCCGCTGCTGTTGCTCCCACTGCTGGGCGTGCGCCCATGACTCTGAGGCCGAAACCGAGGAGACCCCCGATCGCCGCCCTGCTGCTGCTGCTGTTGTTGTTGTTGCTGCTGCTTCTGCTGCTGTTGCTTCCACCACTTCTTCCTGTTCGACCCCTGATCGTCCTGCCGCACCTGAAACGCCGTCCCGTAAATCGTCCACGAATGCCGCTCCACAACGTCGACCCTGACGCCCCGGATATGCAGCACCCTCGCCTCCTCGTCAATCGTCAGCTCCGGCCTCGTGTCCCCCGACGCCCGATGCGGCACCGCCGGTGACCCGAGGATGTGCATCGGCAGGTCCCGCCAGTCAGGCACCCACGAGGGCAGATCCAAGTGCCGCTCGTTCCCCGGCGCGCGCCTCCTGTTGTTGGGCCGGCTGTGGTGCGTCGCGGACAGCATGATGAGGTCGTCTGCGCCCCTGAGGCCGCGCACCGCGACGTCGAGGTAGACCTCCTCGACGCTCTTGGAGTAGTCCGCCACCAGGCCCCGGAGCTCCTTGCTGCCGCCCTTGGTCAGGGAGAAGTGCCCCAGAAAGGCGTACACGTGGTCCCGCGGGTCCTGCGCGAGGAGGTGCCGCGCGCGGTGCAGCTCGTAGGCGAAGGTGCCCCTGTTGTGGAACTGGCTGTCGTGCGCCTCGGCGGGCTCGACGAAGCGCTGGCGCAGGTAGCGGATGTTGGAGGTGCCGATGAAGAAGCGCGTGCGCAGGTGGTGGTATCGCTCGTTGAGGATGCCCGCCACGAAGGAGAGCGTGTCCCAGTCCATCTCCACGTCGCCCCAGTAGAGCGTCGCCGGGGCGGTGGTTCCGATCTCTTGGACGATCCATATCCGGTGGAACTTGGAGCTTCAGTGTCAGAACTGACGTTGATTCTGGAAAGGAATCGTCTTGACACCGGCAAAGGGGTATATTCTTCGTATAAGCAAGGTTACTCACCCACGGCAGCTTGGTCAGCTTCGCCAGAGGAATCCATCTCTCCGCGCTCTGCATCGCCAGATGCTCCTCATGCGCAACCTTGAACGCCTCGTGCGCCTCGTCGTCCTTGAACACGCCATCCAGATAATGCACCATTCGCACCGCGTCCGCCGCGACTCCATCTGCGTCCCTCCCCAACCACACAAGCACCTTGCTCGCGTTCTTGTACACGGCATTCATGAGCTTCACCTGCTGGCTGCGCTCCGCCACGTCGTCCTGGTTGATGCATATCTGATCTGCCCACAGCCGGCGCGCCCGATCCGGCAGCCGGACCCTCACCAACGCATCCCGGATGCTCTGCGTCAGTGGCAGGACGGCGCCGTCGCAGAGCAGCGTGGCGAGCCGGTCACTCGTGCCCCAGACGTAGGAGATTGCTTCGTAAGGGGGCAGCTCGCCGAGCTCTGCTGCGTCCAGACTCCCGAGCTGGAGGCCCCCGATTAAGGGGTCGGAGCCGGAGCCGGGCTGTAGGATGAGGAAGCGGACGGACTTGGCTTCTTTGATGGGCTGGTAGACGTATCGCTGGTCTTCTGGGATGTGGAGGGACTGTTTGGGGCGCTGGGGCAGGGGGTTGTTGTCCATGGATGATGGTCTACTGGATTGGAGGCCACGGCGCCTGACGGGCTTCTTTCCGTGACGCGAGAAGAGAGCTTGAAGCTGCGATGCTGTTGCGCGTAATCTCAGACTCCAGCCCGTTTTATAAGGGGCCCTAGAGTCTTCGAAATCACGGCGTCTTCTGAGCTTCAAGCGTATGCCACGCCAAGCTTGCAACGCAAATGAGACGGATCGAGTGCTACCCTTATTTCTTGTGACCGTGAGATGTCCAAAAAGACGACGCATGTTTTGACTCGAAGCATCGAGAGATGATCCAGCAGGAGGCGATCCATCCATGTCGTCTGGCATCAGTAGTGCGGCGCTATATGTACGGAGGTGGAGAGCGGATTCCGTCCAACGGCGTTCTGCTGCAGCTGCATGTCATGCCGCTTGACTCACTCAGGCGCTGATCCTGGTTGCGCTTCTTACATGTGTTCTCATCTTTGAAGAATCAGGCATGGTTCGTCGACACATGATGATAGCTCACAGAGGGCGCACGGAATGTAGGGTACTGAAGACTTGTTGGAGGGTGATAGCACGAATGGTGGAAGCAGGTGGGTTCATGTTGGAGAATAGGAGAAAACAACAAGAGCATACCCTATAAAGAATCCTGTCCTGGCTATCTCCTCATTATCCGACGGTCTGTACATGTGCAAAATGTACACAGTTGGAGGTAATAGGGTATCCAATTTCACAGGCTTCTCATCACATGGCTCTAGACGGTCTCGCGGATTCTCACCGGCTCCGCCGTCGCCAGGTTAATCTCATCGTCGTCCTCAGACCGCCGCATCTCCGGTCCTGTTCCCATCACCATGGCACCGCTTGCTGTTGGTGGGCCGTCTTTCAGTTCCCAGCTGCCTATCCTCTCGTGCTGCATCCCACGCTTCGTAACCGTAACATCAGCGTCGCTGGCCAGCTTGCCTGTTCCTTTGAAGCCACCCGGGGAAACGCTGCGCACGCTGGGCTTTCTTGTACGCCGTCTAAAGGCACACACTCCAAGGGAGTAGAGAGCGACTGCAAGGATGCCAGTCACGGCTAGAGTCACCATGGCGCCGATGACACCAGCAACAGGCGCACTGAGTGACGACTTCTTGGATGGATCTGAGGGGTCAGAGATGGAGGGTGTGGATCTTGCGTCGCACCACGAGGCAAAAATGGCCCGACAAGAGCTGCACCACTGAGAAGAGTCCTGGGAGAAGCGCTGGAGCTGGCCCAAGAAGGTTGTGAAAGGGATGACCCGGCTATCAGAGCTGTTGGAAGACAGAGGGTAGACGGAAAAGGGCTCTCCAACATCAGCATTGGCCCGATACGTGAACCGAACCATGAACTCCTGAGGCGCCGGAAGTGCGGATGTATCACCGGAGTGATGGCCGAGCAGCTCGATGATCATGGCCGAGCCGGGCTCCGGAAGAGTGGAGAACGGCCCAGAGAGCAGATTGGATCCGGAGTAGAGCCCCATGAGGGAGAAGAAGGCAATCATGGGCTCAAAGGAGCCGAACATGAGCGTGAGTTTGCTGCCGTCACTTCCTATGGTAGCACCGCTGAGCGAACTCGCAATCTGCATGCCAAGCGTTTGGCCAGCGATAGTGGTAATGTTGTTGTAAGTGAAGTTTGGGGCGCCGCTCAGACTGTCTCCGTTCATGGCCCGCTCCAGTTCGAAAGCGTTGGCCTTGAGCACGCCCACCGTTGTGTTGGCGAATCCTAACCCGGAATTGACCGTTTTGTTGTGAGTATTCATGTAGTTGACATACTCGTAAATGTTGTAGGCATTCCAATAGTTGATCGCGCCCTTGGGGATAGTGCCGTTGAGGGGAGGCGTGGCAAAGAGGGACCTGTAGAGGCTCTCGGTTGACCTGAAGCGGCCCATGGGATCGGTTTGCTTCATGGTATTTACGTTGGTATCCCAGGCCCAGCAGCCGACGGTTCCTTGGATGCTTCGTGTCGAGCGGCAAGTCAGCATACTCGATGCAAATGAAGAACACACGAACTGAGCTACTCACGCTACTGATGCCGAGTCTGATGCAGATAGAGTCTCGATGTTGGGATACTGGTATCCGCCAAGAGGGTAATCGACTGGATCGGAGCCGGACACGACGTCCTCCGCCATCTGTGAACCACCGGCAAAGCTGTTGAACGAGTCTTCTGTAGGAGGATACAGGCCCTGGAGAAAGGCCACAGCACCTCCAGCCACCCACTCGTCTGTCTGCGACAGGATGGTGAGCTGGTTGTTGCTAATGGCATCTTTGGCTATGCCTTGGATCGTCGTGTTCTCCGTTGTATTTGAAAACAGCGTAGAATTGGCGGCACCCAAGTAGCGATTGCGAAAAGCGCTCCCCTGCCTCCACATTTGTCGGGCTCCCATGGGCGTGAGAACGTTATCCAGGCCCCCAAGAGTCGGAGTCTTTTCGCCATGATTGATGTATGCAACAACTGCCCAGACTTTCGTGTCGAGAGGCTCATTAGACTGCGCCAAGGTACCAAGACTCAGGACAGCTATTGATAACAAGATGGAGAGCCGGCATAGGCTCTGGCTCGGAACAGACGCCATACTGTCGTGAAGAGTCAAGGACTACTCTGTGTAGCCTGTATGCTCTATGGCTAGTGAAAATGTGAAGTCTGTTAGGATAGAGCCCTCAGTGAAGGCTGAATCAACACAAGGCGAGGAGAGACTGCTTCCGAGGCCAAAGATTCTGCATTCGCGGGGAGCGGTGATGGAGGTGAGGAGATCTCATATTAAACAGACCACATGTTGACATCGAGAACCCCAGCCCAGAGAAGCCGTCAACTCCGACCGCAAGAGAGCCAGGAATCCAATCCAAGCCCTCACTTCGTCCCACCGAGCTGGTCAGCCACCCATCGAATGGTGTAGTAAGAATCCCCAAGACGCCCAGCAGAGCAGAGAGACACGGCTGTGACAACTCGTCAAACCCGCATCAAGCTACTTTCCGTTGTTGGAGCTCCACACCAAACAAGCTTAGAGCTGGAGCAAAGCACGACACCCTCAGCCTGGAACCAGCGAATCCCAGCGCGCTCCAGGCGGCCTCGTCTGGCCGTTTTGGCGGGTGGCTGATCCCGTGCATTCTGACGGAAGGATTCGAAGGGGTGCTGAGAAGGGCATGGATAAGGTAGAGGCCTCGAGGAGGGGCGGGGTCTGTGACAGGGCATTGAAGCTGGTTCCAAGAGTCGCTCAAGGTCAATGCCGTGGACTATTTCTTTCTCTCCGCCCATCCGCCATGCTGGATGCGCGCAGCTTGACGACGTTTGACTTGAAGAAGCCGTTGTTGCTTGGACGTTTGCGGCCAAGCTCGAGCGTTTGTGGATGAAAGGTTTGACTTTGACGCGCCAATGACGACTCGGGAGGTGTGGAAGATGTACTTTGTATTGTAGACCAGGATGACGTCGAGATTGAACAGCGGTATATCTCGACGAAATCGGAGGCATTTTAAATGCTTTTTACATTAAATACTTGGACTGATGTAAGAGAGATTTAGATTTTACGCATGTAAAATTGATTCAGAATCACATGCCGCAGGATGCGGATGCCTGTGCCTTGTCTTCTCTGTTGGTGTGCACGCGAGTTGGTGTAAGTCGGTGATAACTCACGGTGCCTTGGCGCAGATATGTCATCACCGCCCTCATTGTCTTGTGGGCAGTACTTTGATGCCAACCTACCTGATTAATCCTGGTGACTGAGACATATGGCACAGCGGTTGAGTCTTGAAATACTCCGTAGCCATCGAAACAAACAGTGGCCTCATGTGCCTCATCTCAAGTTTCACCGTATCGCCGGTCAGCTTCTAGATAGAAGACAGCCCCGCTTAGGCCCAAACCCCTCATCTAACCTTCATAAGGCAAAATAGGGCTGCCTCCACCATCAACCATGGGAAGCGGATCACCGCTTCAATCGGTTCCATGGTCTAACGGTTATGACTGCGGATTCTGATTCCGCCAGCGAGGGTTCGACTCCCTCTGGAACCTATTTTTTGCGCTTTTCACCACGGATTCTCTTTTTATCGTCTCGTCGCTTCAGAGCAAACTGGACTGGCGATTGTCTTCGTGATGACAGCGACTTGATTGAAAGTGGTCGATAATCGGGGCAATCAATGTGTCGGTTCTCCCTTCAACAGCCCCAGGGCAGCTGCCTTTCAACGACCTCCGTAAAGAATTAGATACACGGGCGCTCATCAAGGCATGCTGCGCAAATAGTGCCTGCAGCATCCCCTTGCACGTCCTCTGATAATATGACCACCGCCAGAATGAAAAGTGCGGATGTGGGGAATCTGGCAGCATCGATACTAGACATCATGTTCAGCACCTCCTGATCAGCATTTCATCTCGACGATTTGCACCAAGAAGATTCGCGGCCAGATTTGGATCTTATCAATCTCTACTTTTTCCCAGATGCAGACAAGCGTAGAATGCCGTTTGCCTCAGGCAGCAACACAGAGGCAACTCCGTGCGAAGCTGAAGCTGGGTGGCGGTTTGCCATCATTTCCCTCCCTTGCTTGCCCTTCAATGTCGCGCTCGGCTGTGTGCCTGATTCGCCATGATCCGGCTTTGCTACCTGGTAATAGTTGTGATGAAGCATGAAAAAGCACAGCTACTCATCTCATTGATTTCCCTACAATACTACGTCTCTTTGTCCTCTACCTCCTCTACAGTGTCTCTTCATCTCTGATAGTAATGCCCGTCTTTCCCCGTGTCCAAGACGACATCGTGCATGACTGCAACACAAGCGCTCAATCTCATCAACTTTTCCGTTTTCTGTGGAGCAGATGCGGATCCACATGCTAAGCCGTGTTTGGCCTTTCCCTTGCATTAGAGGCGCGAAGCAAATCGATTCAGCTGATCAGAGGAGGCAAAGCGGCCGCCAGCCACGTGCAGCGAGATGTGAACGAAGCGATGTTCGAGTCTGTTCCTTGCTGCAGATCGAGAAGATGGTGAGGGAGTACATAGGGAGGGAAAAGAGATGGAATTTGTGAAACAGTAGGTAGGATAAAGTAGAGACAATGGCTAGGAGCAGAACTGCAGAGCAAGGAAAACAAAGAAAAATAGCCGATGGATGCCCAGAGGCGCAAACGAGCTCAACCCAACTTCCAGGTTCGCCTCTGGCGCATCCCTGCTCAGTGCATGCATAGCGCTGCACCTCGCTCCGTCCAGCGCTTGGAATGGCCTGACGCTGAGCCCACCGGCCGCTGACGCCCACTGCGAGGTACAAAATACAGCGTCGGGTCCGAGCCATCAGGTTTCAGCGGGTGCGCCTCAACCTTGAAAGGCTCTAGTCAGGTAAGGCAGTTCGGCAGCCGCAATTTCTCCGCATCATCGCCCGCCTACCTTCAATACCTTACCCCTACGGGCTCAAAGTTCCAGTGGACGCACTCCCTGTCTGTCGCACGGCACAAGCACCAGACTGGACCAGACTTGAGCACAAGCACCGCATCTCGCACACCCACACCGAGCACCTCCAGACTCTGTACGATTCGAGCACGTCGCGCGCCTTGCGAAACCACCGGGTTAATAAAAAAAAAGAAGAAGAGAGACTACGAGATCATTCCGCCTGATCGCATCGCGCCTATCGTCCGCATTTGCCGCTCGATGGCCCAGCCGCATGCTGCGTGCTGAAATCGCCCGCCATGTCAGACGACGCCATCGCAGAGCCGTCCGAGGCGCTGAAGGAGCAGCAGCAGCAGCAGCAGCAGCAGGCCGACGACCACATCGACGCCGCCAAACAGCCCGCCTTCCTGCACTCGCCGCCCGATAGCAACGATGCCGGCAAGTCGGAGTCGAGCGACTCGGAGCTCAGCGACCTGGACGACGAGCCGCCGCTGGAGGATGCGCCGACGCTGCCCCCGGATCTCGGCGCTGAGCTCGACGACATTGGCGATGTCGTGCCGGACCATTGGTCGTCGGGCAACGTGCCCGTCTTCCGGCCGACCATGGATCAGTTTAGAGACTTCCGCCGCTTCGTATGCCGCCTCTCACTCGGGCTCCAATTGCCTCTGTCCTTGCCCTCGTCGCCATCCGTGTTCTTGTCTGCTAACCACTGACCCTTGCACCCAAACAGATGACAAAGGTCGACAGCTATGGAATGAAGTCCGGTATCATCAAGATCATCCCGCCGGCCGAGTGGCTGGATGCACAGCCACCCCTCGACGATCTCGTAAAGCAGATCCGAGTCCGCGAGCCAATCAAGCAGGACATCATGGGGTCCAACGGCACTTACCGCCAAGTCAACATCCTCCATGGACGATCCTACAACATTCCGCAATGGAGGCAGCTTTGCGAGCAGAGCGAGCACCAGCCTCCCGCCAGGCGTGGAGAGAGACGAGCCAATGCGGACAAGCCCAAGCCCGCGCGGCGCCCTGCTGCTCCCAAACCTGCCAACACAACGACCACCACACCGAGGACTCGCGGAAGAGGACGGCCTCCCAAGAACAGGGCGAGGCAAAGGAAGAATGAAGAGAGCCGGCCCATGACACCTGTCTCGCCAAAGGTCGAGGCCGAAGGCGCAGAGGATGAAGTGATGGACTCTATCGAAAAGGAGCTGGGCACCGAGGTGGATTACGAAGACGACCCTCAACCGACCGTTCGAAGAATGGGTGGAGTTAGGCCTGCTAAGCCAAAGATTCAGTCCACCTCGGCGCGCCGCAAGTACAGTCGCCGAGAAGGCTCCGCCGTCATCGACGAGGCTGCGTTCAAGGATTTCGACTATCGGATGGACATTTCCGACTACACGCCTGAGCGATGCGAAGAACTGGAGCGCGTGTATTGGAAGACCCTGACATATGCACAACCGCTTTACGGCGCTGATTTGATGGGCACGCTCTTCGATGACAGGACCGAGATTTGGAATCTGAACAAGTTGCCAAACCTCCTGGATGTCCTCGGTACAAAGGTTCCGGGTGTTAATACAGCATACCTCTATCTTGGCATGTGGAAAGCAACGTTTGCGTGGCATCTTGAGGACGTCGATCTCTACAGCATCAACTACTTGCACTTTGGTGCTCCAAAGCAGTGGTACAGCATTTCCCAGGCCGATGCTCGAAAGTTTGAGAATGCCATGAAGAGTATTTGGCCCGCCGATGCCAAGGCCTGCGACCAGTTTCTCAGGCACAAGGCTTTCCTCATTTCGCCGCAACACTTGCAGCAGAACTACGGCATCAAGGTCAACAAGGTCGTCTCATATCCCGGCGAGTTTGTCGTCACCTACCCTTACGGATACCATTCCGGTTTTAACTTGGGATACAACTGCGCCGAAGCTGTCAACTTTGCTCTCGACTCCTGGCTTGAGATGGGCAAGATTGCCAAGAAGTGCGAATGTGCCCAAGCGCAGGACAGCGTATGGGTCAACGTCTACGAGATCGAGCGGAAACTGCGAGGAGAGGAGACCGAATACGAAGAGACAGAGGATGATGATGAAGACGAAGATGAGGACGATGACGATGAGCTCTCCGGGCTTCCCACCCCTCCTGCGGGCCACGCTGTGAAATTCAAGGACGCGAGCCGCAAGAGGAAGCGTGGCCGGGCGGATAAGGGGGCCAAGGTCAAGGTCAAGAAGATCAGGCTGCGACTCAAGGTCAAGGCCGAGCCGCCCTGTTGCCTGTGCCCCAACGATGTCCCGAACCTGGAATTCCTGCCAACCGACGACGGCAGAAAGGCCCATCGCCTGTGCGCCCTCTACATCCCCGAGACGTACATCGACACAGTGGATGGAAAGGAGATTGTCTCCAATGTCGACGCCGTGCACAAGGACCGTCTGGATCTCAAATGTCTGTTCTGTCGATCGAAGCGCGGGGCTTGTTTCCAGTGTTCTCAGAAGAAGTGTGCGAGGGCATATCACGCTACATGTGCCGCAGCCGCGGGAGTGTTCACCGAGGAACAAGAGGTTCCCGTCTTTGGTGAAGATGGTACGGAGTATAAAGAACAGGCTTTTGAATTCAGCTGCCGCTTCCACCGTACCAAGCGCGATAAGAAGCTGGACGGCGAGGCTTTAGAGGAAGATGCCCGCATCATGAAGGCCGCCGAGGCCCTTCGGAAGGGAGACATCTGCCAGCTGCAATATCACAAGGGCGACATATTCGCCGGAATGGTGGTAGAGAACCGATCGGATGAGCGCATGTTACTCGTCGACGTCGTTCCGAATGGCGACCGAGTAGAGGTTGAATGGAAATGGCTGCTGCTCCCAGATCCATCCGACTACCACCTACCCAAGGCGTCGGCGAACGCCATCTCGCTCCCCTCTTCGCAAAAGGCAAAGGACAAGCTCAATGCCAAGCGTCATCAGGGCGATGACAAGCCGCGAAAGGGCGATACATTCATCGAAGGGGACTATACCTGGGCGGAATTCCACACCAACGAAGCCGCCAACAAGCAGCAGGCCAAGGTTGATCTTAGCAAGCAAGACCAGGTCTGGTACTATCTCGGGAAGAACTCGACCGACGCCAAAGCGCAGTACACCGAAGATCCGACAAAACCACGGCACAACCCCAAGGGCAATTTCTTGGACACGCTTCCGAAGCCCCCCAAGCCCGTGCCTGCGCGCCAAACATATCAGCAGAGAGCTTACGGAATCTCTGGCCCATACAACCACCCAGGTGCTTTTGCGGGCCAAATGACGACGATGCCGATGAATGCTCCGGGCATGGAGAGGCCATACGTCTACCAGCCAAGGACCCCTGTGGGATACAACAACCACACACTTCCCGGCACAAACTCCTTCCAAGGGACCACGGCTGCTCCTCCCACCTTCCAGCAGTATCAGCCATACACAGTCCAGCGGTTTGACCCCATCATCCGGCCAAATGAGATGCCTCGAGCTCACGTACCGCCGCCGCCGCCGCCACCTCCCCCTTCGCAGCCGCATCCACAAGCTTTCCCGACGACCTGGGCGGCAGGGTCTTCAGGACCTTACCCAAGCCATAGGGGTGCTTCATCATCCACACATAACTCGCAACAGTACAGCAGGCCCACTTGGCAGGTGCATTCCTCGGTGTATCAGAAGTACCCCTTCTTCCAAGTAAACCATAACAGGTAAGCTGTTTCCGGGTCGTCGCTGTTTGATCACCATTTCTAACTGTGAGTTACAGGGAGGCTACCAGATATCGAACACCTTATATGCCGTGGGGAGGGTTCACCAACGGTTACGAAGGCGATCTGAGAGCACACCTGCTAGCTAATCGCCACGACGTTCTCCGGCGGGCATCTTCCACGGCAATGTCCCCAGGCGACTACTCGGGGCCATACCAGGCGCAACCTTCTGCAGCTGTACCGACAGCCGTACCGACAGCTGTACCGTACAATGGCCCAGCGGCCCCGGCAGCACAGCAGACAGGGCCGCCGGCGCAGCAATCGAATTCAGGGCTGCCTGCGCCCATCCTTGGAACAGCCAGCCACCAGTACCATCCGGCGATCAAGGCACAGTACAGAAGTCAGATCCAGCAGCAGCCGACCCAGCAACAGCCCAACCAGCAACAGCCGACTCAGCAGCAGCCCAGCCAACAGCAGCCCAGCAAGCCCAAGCCAACCCCAGCCCCCAAATCGTACAAGGTTGGCTTACCCGCAGCCGTCAGTCTTTCGTTGAAGTCGACTAAATCCGCAATGCAGGTTCCAGCTAAACAGTCCCCAGTGCCTTTACCAGCAAACTTCCTGGCCGCCATGACCTCGTCTCCCGGTTCTACCGCACCCCCCTCCGTCAAGCACTCGCCTCTTCGGCAGGCAAGCCCCGTGGCCGCCTCTCCCAACACGAAAGTTGCCGTAGCATCCTCTACACCACCTTCACAAGAAGCGGGAAACTCCACAGGACCCACGGCAAAGGCAGCCCAACAAGCTCCAAGGATATCAACAACTCCAGTGCCGCTCCCTAAGTTTGCAATATCATACCAGGGAAATGCGACGGCATCTCCGTCGTCATCCGCTAGCGTTGCAACGCCGAACCTACCGCAGCCTACACACTCAGCTCCTTCGACACAGCAGGGCCATGATGCGGCTGCGCCCGAGGGGCCGGCAGATACTCTCCGAAAAGCTGCAGTTTCAGTCAACGGGACTGGAAATCATACTCCCCAACAATCGGGCTTGGACAGGGGAATGTCTACTACCTCGGTGCCAGTTTCCACGACTATACATCCGGTCAAAGACGATCAACCCAGTCCGTCCTATTCTACACAACCATTATATCATCATGAACCCGAGGGTTTCCCAGATGTTCCGGGCTGCGAATCTATGGAGTTTGTCGAACGGATGATGGAGAATCTGAGAAAAGCGTCCCAGCGGCAGATGCCAAGCTGAAAGGGGGGTGAGATGAAGCCAAGAGGCATTCTCTAGTCCTCGTCCTTTTCGAGCAGCAGCAGGCCATTGCCGCCAACTACTTTTATCATGCACGCAGAAACGCTTGTTTACTTTTTTCTTTCCTCTATTTGCCCTTACCATTGCTTTTCTCCCATGAAGGGTCATAGGAGGTACTTTTTTTGGTCAGATACACCATGATTTATCAAGGTTACGTAACTACGTGTTATGACACGGTCGATGAGAACCAGGGAATCGTTTCCGGACCTGTGCGTCCTTGTTCCTTTTCTTGCGCGTCTTGAAACTTTCACCTGGCGTTGGGAAGAGGAGTACCGGCGAGTGGCTCGGAAGGTCAGTTAGAGGCAGCAGCATGGCCACCCTTTCAAAAGGGGCGAGGGAGAAGACCCAATCATTGCTGGCGGTTTGCTTATTGTTAGGGGACAGTCACGGCCACATAACGAAGTGTATTATTAGGATTATTACATACCTTAGTACCGTGGGTAGTCTCACGACAATAAGGGTTTATTTGATTTGAAGTGGTAAACTACTCGGCGGCGTTATTCCGACCTTTTGGTCGCAGCTAAACAGGTCTATCAATCTATGGAGCTTGTATTCAAACGGCGGTATTGTGGAGGATTGTTAGCTAAGTGACTCTCCGCTGCTTGCCGCATCAGTTTGGTATGAGCATGCCAGAGGTTCGTACAGTCTCCTGAACGACTCGCAGTGGTATCTCTTTGCCACGCCGGCAACCTGACAAAGTATCCGTGCCTTGTCAAAGTTAAAAGGCCACTCTTCTTGTGTCAATGTCTCTTTTGGAAGTGTCGGCTGTAATGGAGTACAAGAGCGTGCCATTCCAGAGATGCTGGCAGCTGGCAGGCAAAGGCAAGCGTCTAAAGTCCAGGCGCCGTATCAAACTCTATCGGCAGCTGCAATCTTTACCTTCTTAGGCAGTGCCGCCTGATGGAGAGTTTGAGGCGGGCGAGAGTCACTGCAGCCTGCGCAGGTACAGTACCTATATGAAGGTCGTCTCTCTTCATGTTCTCTTGCTCCTTTCGCTCTCTTCCCTTCTTCTGCACACACAAACACAAACACTTTTCACCCGCGTTCCATCACCACTCCTGCTACCAACACGGCCTTTTCTTTCTCGCGCATATTCTCTGTGTACTCGCTTCTTCCATCCTGGCACTTGCTCTTGGCCATCCAAAGCAATCACCGTTTCTCATTTCATTTCATTTCATTTTCTACAAACACCAGAACTACTCCCGTCGCCGAGCGAGATGCCTTCCCGCAGGGCTCCAGGTCCTTCACCTGCCCCGACGAGCCCCTCCGAGCTGTCCCAGGCGAGAGACTCCTGGTCCAGCTCGCCGGACTGGGACGATCAGCGCGACTGCGGCCGCTGGAGCGAGGAGGACGAGTCGGTCTCGATGGAGAACGTGCCCGAAGTGATTCCGGGCAAGTATCTCCGGGGCACGGTCATAGGCCAGGGGGGCTGGTCGACTGTCATCAAGGTGAAGAGGGTGGAGGATGGGAGGCTGTTTGCGGGCAAGAAGTCGCAGACGCCCGAGCAGCTGTACAAGGAGTCGAAGAGGCTTCGGAAGTGGGATCACGTTGGTCACTCCCCTTCTCCATCCAAAGGCCTAGACTGACACTGCTCTTCGCCATCCAGCCGAACATTGTAAAGCTTGTGGAACTCTACAAGCAGGACTCGGATGAGGACAACAATCTTCTCATCATGGAGCTTTGCGCAAGGGGAACCCTGCAGATGCGTATCGAGTGGTACTACGAGCCCATGAGCATGTTGGACATCGTGTCCACTACCATCCAAGTTGCCGATGCTCTTGTCTACATGCACGGCAAAGGCTTTTTTCATGCAGACATGAAGCCGAGGAACATCTTCGTCCGTCGATTCGACCCAATGGATGTCGCCCTTGGAGACTGCAGTGACTGCAAGGTCCACGGCAAGTATGACGGCCCGAGAACTGGGACGTCGGATTTCTGGTCGCCTGACATGGTGGCCTACAACAGGCACAGCGGCAAGAGTGATGATATCTGGGCTCTGGGGGTTACTCTGCTCGCGATGATGCTTCAGAAGCCGCAGAAGGACAAGGGGGATGCGGGAAAGTTCCAGTACCCTTCACGATGTGCCAACTATACACAGGAGCTGATGAGGCTCAATCCCGGCAACGCACTTGTCGACCTCGTCAGCAAGATGCTCGTCAAGAAAACCAGAGAGCGGCCAACGGCCGAGAGGTGCCTTGAGATGGCGACCAAGATTATGGAGGGGTCAAATGACAACGAGAAGCTGGCCGGTAGCATGGATGGGCTGGGGCTCACTTCCCCAGAAAAGCACCGCCCTGCCGAGGCGCCTCCTGTCTACCATTGGTGATGACATCTGAGGCAGAGAGAGTTGGTTTGGTCATGGATGCTTTCGAACTTGGGTTGGATTTTCGCCTTGGGACTTCGGTGTTGATGAGATGATACCCAAGGCATAGGTCGCAATGTTGTCGACCTCGAGTTTGCTTTGAATTTCGCTATGGAGGATACATGTACAGGACTTTCCGGGTCAGATGGGTTTGGCTTCGGCTGCTGTTTGCACCTTCCTTGTTCAAGACCATTGGAATCATAAACCCAATCATCCAGCACTGCAGTCGTGATACCTTCCAACATGATGTTCTCTCTTCCTCAGCCTTGTGGACCCCTCAGCCTTGTGCGTCTCTGCTCACGAGAATTGACGCCATCGTCTAGTAGACTCTAGACTTCTTCAAGTCCCCCCGCAGCGGCCCCTTAGTCAGCCGTCCTTGGGCTGTTTCCGGCCGGGGAACCCAATTGACTGAATTGCCGATGTCGCAATTGCCTATTCGCAAAATTAGAGAGTAGGCTGTAAGAAATCGCTCTGATTCGTTCTACAGAGTGTAAGAAGGCTTCACCTCGATCTCTCGCTTCTAACGCGTGCCTTCACCCCTCATTTTTGCTTTGATTTTTCGACTCAAGGTGTTCTTTGGGTTAGGGCGGAGCCATTGCGATTGCATCACCGAGGCTAGTTTGAGAAAAGGAAAAGGAAAGAAGCGGGAGGTTTTTCTTTCGTTCTTCTTAAATGTCTTTGTCTGCTCTGCGGATTTCACCTTCAATCATTTCTACTACTGCTGTTCGCCGTTCGGTTGCGTTTGCGGGTATCGCGAGAGGAGGCGTTGTCAGGACCTATTCCGCCATGAGTGGGAGTCTGAAGTTGAAGCCTGCGGCGAGGGTGTCGGGGCAGAAGCAGGATGTTTGGTGAGTCAACACAGTGAATACATGCCAGAACGCAGACACGAGCATGAGTACAGTTATGGTTGAGCTGCCGGAGATGGGAGGTTGAATCGAAGTATCGACCGGGCTGACATGTTCAACCAAAAGGACCATCGTCAACGAAGCGGCGGCAGCTTCGCCCAAGCAGCCCATTGTGAACATGGGCCAGGGCTTCTTCGGGTACAACCCGCCCAAGTTCATCCTCGACGCCGCCAAGGAGGCGCTGGACCGGGTGGACTGCAACCAGTACTCGCCTACCAAGGGGCGGCCGAGGCTGAAGCAGGCGATTGCGGATGCGTATGCGCCGTTTTGGGGGAGGAAGATTAATCCCGATACCGAGGTGACGATTACGACGGGAGCCAACGAGGGTGAGTTTCTTCTATCTGATTTGTGGAACTGTCTGGGGAGATGGGAAGTAGGTAGGAAGCTGTGATATCTAACGTGTGAGGGTGAGACGTGTGTAGGTATGCTCAGTGCGTTTATGGCTTTTATTGAGCCGGGCGACGAGGTCATCATCTTTGAGCCCTTCTTCGACCAGTAGGTTTTACACCTCCGTCGTGGAATCTTAGTACACGATGCTCACTCAGGGAAACAGGTACATTAGCAACATTGAGATGCCTGGCGGCAAGATTGTCTATGTGCCCATGCACCCGCCCGCCACGGGAGCCACCAAGACGTCGTCGGCAGCCGACTGGACCATTGACTTTGACGAGCTGGAGAAGGCCATTACGCCCAAGACGAAGATGATTGTTCTCAACACCCCTCGTAAGTTCTTTTTGCCCTCCCTCACAAATCGTACAAATCAATCGGTAGCGATACTCATTTTCTTGTGTGTGAATGCAGACAACCCCGTCGGCAAGGTCTTTTCTCGGGAGGAGCTGCAGAAGATTGGCGACCTGTGCGTCAAGAACGAGATCATCATCCTGTCTGACGAGGTGTACGACCGCCTGTTTTACGTGCCGTTCACGAGGATCTCGACGCTGTCTCCCGAGATTGAGAGGCTGACTCTGACTGTCGGCTCTGCGGGCAAGAACTTTTACGCCACGGGTTGGCGTGTTGGTACGTTTTTGCGAGCTTCACACGTTCTGCATCATAAAATATCGACGGGGGACTCCTGTATGCTGACCTGCTATCTGTTCTTGCAGGCTGGCTCATGGGCCCCGAGCATCTCATCAAGTATGTTTCGGCCGCACACACGCGCATCTGCTACTCGTCCGTCTCGCCCCTGCAGGAGGCCTGCGCCGTGGGCTTCGAAAAGGCCGAGGCCGAGGGCTTCTGGGACGACGCCATCCGGGACATGAAGGGCAAGATGGACCGCTTCAACGAGGTCTGGGACGAGCTCGGGCTGCCGTACTCGGAGCCCGAGGGCGGATACTTTGTGCTCGTCAACATGGACAAGGTGCAGCTGCCGGAGGACTACCCGTTCCCGCCGCACGTGGCGAGCCGGCCGCGGGACTTTAAGCTGTCGTGGTTCCTGATCCAGGAGGTGGGCGTCGCCGCGATCCCGCCGACGGAGTTTTACACGGATGCGAATGCGCACATGGCGGAGGATTATCTGCGGTTTGCGGTGTGCAAGGAGGATGCTGTGTTGGAGGAGGCGAAGAATCGGCTGAGGGGGCTGAAGAAGTATATGAAGTAGACTTTTGGATACCAACAAGAACACTAGGTACATATAGAGGTCGGATCTCAACGCCGCTCAGGGGGAGGAAGATACTGTAAGAGCAGCAGGACTGCTACTCTAGATATTCCATTGCACATAGGAGCATCGAATGACATGCCAATACAAAGTGTGAGAAGATATGTATAAGCTCTACTGCCCCTAACGGGAATGAATGTCCTTTGCCAGCCGTATGACAGGCCGTACCTTGATATTACTTCATCCTCTATCCATGGATTCAGTACGTAAACTCTAAAGCACACCATTCTTCGTGCCGCGCCTCCTTGATCATTAGGAGAGGGTAATAGCAATTAGTAGTCGAAAGATTACGACACACATCAATCGTTGAATCTCACAATCTCCCTTGATAATCGATTAGGTACATACATAAGTGCATGTTGTGGAACTTGCCGATGGGTGGAGCGGCATCTCAGCAGCGGAGCCGGCCGAAGCGTCGTTTTTTGTTTGAACCCCCCCGGCGGCGGGGTTTGAAGAGGGAGGGGTGACGGGCGATCGATAGTTAATGATGGGGAGGTGATTGGAGAAGACAAGGCGATTGGGACGTGTCTGTTTTGCCTGTTTGGGGGGTTTTTGGTGCTGTGGTTTGTTGAAGGGGGGGGGCTTACTATCTGGTGTTCTTCATGTGTTCCTTGAAGTGAGGGTTGAATTCGAGTAGTAGGTGGTTGTCCGAAACCGTGATGGTAGATTGATTCAGAGGATCGGTATTTCCAGTTGCCGAGCTGTTTCTATTATTATTATCATTATACTTTTCTTACAACACCCACCCAAAAGGTAAGCATATTGTCCCGCAAACGACGACTTCCGCGGGCATCGGACAGAAAGAAGCCAATGACATGGCGGACAACGCAGGACTGGGCTTACCGGCACTCGCACAATTAAGGATGGCGTCGGCTTAACAAGTAAACGGGACAGAAAGTCGGACTGTCGCTCCGTGCCAACACTGACATTGAAACTTGTTACAGGGCATTTTGACTCAAGTTGTCACGTTTGCTTTTTGGCACGTCCTAGAAAGTGCTTTTGTCACACGCTGTCTTGGCTTGAAGCAGCTCCGTCGTTGGCTCGGAGGTTCTACTAGTATGAGCACCTGTGGTTCATTGCCTTATCTCTGCCTGTTAGCATCCGATGCAGGGCTTGACAGGTAGTAGGCGATACCCATTCGGCTAGTGCACGGGCACTGCGGAGAAGAGGTAGACGATACGGGGAGCCGTCGGGCAGCTCTAAGGAACCTGGGGCACGCGGGAGGCGATATCGCGGTACGGGCCAGCAGATGCAAGTTGGTGCATGTGCAAGACCTCCGCCTTCTGGCCAGCAGCCACTTAAACGCCGTGTCGCCACTTTGCACTCTCTAACTACATTACTATTACTACCAACATTTGCCTTGGGCATACATACATGCCTTGAACTTGCATTTGCTTGCCTTGCGTGGCACTTCATCGACTTCGTCTTCGAGGGACATTCATGAGCATCTGAGTTACACATCCGCTTTCTGTGTATCGAGTGTTTCGCATTCCATTCATCTTCATCCCTCGTATTCTTCCTTCACGCTGTGTCATGGCCTAGTTCCTTTCATCTCCATCACTGTCGTCTTCGTTCCGCTTCTTTCATAAACCCGATTTATCATGGCTCCCATTGCCATCTCGCCCGAGCGGGACGGCCAGCTGGATTCGCTGGCGTCTCTGACTGCCAAGTTCGACGACACAATTCGATTCTATCTCAACGGAACCAAAGTCGTGCTCGACGAAATCGACCCCGAGATCACAGTCCTAGAGTACCTGAGAGGCATTGGACTGACCGGAACCAAGCTGTATGAAACTCACTCTTGACTAGTTTGGACTCCTCACGCAGCTCCTTTCTTCGTTCCGACTGACACTCATGAAAACACAGCGGCTGTGGCGAGGGCGGATGCGGCGCATGCACCATCGTGGTAAGCCAGTTCAACCCCACGACGAAGCAAATCTACCACGCCAGCGTCAACGCCTGCCTGGCCCCTCTTGTAAGTCTCGACGGCAAGCATGTCATCACCATTGAGGGCATCGGCAACACCAAGAGGCCCCATCCCACGCAGGAACGGGTGGCCAAGTCCCACGGAAGCCAGTGCGGCTTCTGTACGCCCGGCATTGTCATGAGCCTGTATGCGCTGCTGCGGAACAACGCCAATCCCACGACAGACGAGGTGGAGGAGGCGTTCGACGGCAACCTGTGTCGGTGCACGGGGTACAGGTCCATCCTCGACGCAGCTCACACCTTTAGCAAGGAGAACTCGTGCGGCAAGGCCAGGACCAACGGTGGCGGGGGCTGCTGTATGGAGAACGGGAACGGCAAGCCCGAGGGGGGATGCTGCATGGACAAGATGAACAATGACCAGCCTATCAAGCGATTTACGCCTCCGGGGTTTATCGAGTACAACCCCGACACCGAGCTCA